GCTCCGTCCTTTGTTATACTAACTTACATACTACATACAGGCCTGCGGCGACGTTCTCACTAAGAAGAAGCTCGATCCTCATCGCAACCGCTGTCGCGGCGCTACCTTCACCTGCATTGATTGTATGGTGTATTTCCCTGGCGTCCAATACCGATCACATACCGTATGTACCACACGGCTTTCCGGTAGCCATTAAGCCCCTGATCTCGTGTAATCGTCTGACATCATATAGAGTTGTATGACCGAAGACCAGAAGTACCAAGGTGCGCTTTATAAGGACAAGAAGAACAAGAAACAGAAACACAGCCACCCAAACGATAACCAGCAACACTACACCCAAGACCAAGCCATGGCTGAAGTTCAAACTCTCCCCAACAACACTGGCAACATGAGCCACTACGCCTACGTTGAAGACGTCCCTGAGGATCAGTTCGGCTGGGCCGAGTACGAAGAAAGCAGCGATGATGAATCGCCAAACGGCCCGCCCCCAGAGGCTCCCACGCCTCCTTCTGCTGCCCCGGAGCCACATGTCGATGTATTTGAGTTTCTCGTTGGAACTGGACAAACACCCAATGCTTCCAACATGAATCTCGATGCGGAGCCAGGCAACTCATTGGTACGATACGAACCTAAGGACAAGAGTGACGAATACGGCTTCGTGAATGACGATGATGAGCCTGCAGTCGAATATGGAAGTGGCCCCGTACCCGCCGCCGAATTTGTTACACCCGCTTCAAAATCCGAAAGACGTAAAAGCCGGACCAGCACTGAGAAGAAGGACAAGAAGCGCAAGCGATTACACATTGATGTTCCTAGCGACCAGGTTATGACGGATGCCCCACCAGTTCTTCACTCAGGACTCACTGGCGGCATCAACCGTATGATGCGTCCTGTATTCCCTCCATCCCCTGATTACTCCGGTGGTGACGCCCCGGAAATTTCTCCCGCGAGCCCTCTGAAGAAGTCAAAGCACTCTAAACATTCTAAGCACTCTAAGCACGCCTCTACTGGTCACAGCCTCTTTGGCATGATTGCCGGCAGCAAGCCCAAGTCCAAGTCGAAGACGAAGACCAAGTCGTCAAGCAAGACCAAGAAGAGCTCTTCCTCTTCCAAGAAGTCCCATAAAGAGAAGAAGCCTCAGCAGCTCATCGAGTATCGCCCTCAGAGCAAAGATGGCAAAACAGACTCCGGCGCTGGACAAGTCGTCCTCTACAAGCCTCGAGCCGATGTCTTCCTCAGCTTCGTCGACAAGGGTCCTGAGAGTGAGAAGGGCGTCAGCTTAAACAGGGTTCTCAAGCGTTTCCACCGAGAACGCGAGGCTACTGGCAGTGAGTTGGGTAAGGGCAAGGAAGAGAAAGAACTCTGGAGATCCCTCCGGCTTCGACAGAATGAACAAGGAGAGATCGTATTGTTCTCTGTTGAGTGATTACCCAACTTCAAATCCAAACAAAAAAAACAAAGAAAAAGCAACAAAAAGAATAGCATTGGAAGATCCGGCCGAAAATCGGACAGACACCGGGCATGGGATTAAAGGAGTTTATGAGGATGATGCATTGAGACAACTTTTTTTTCCACGATACCTTCATCGACAAGCTTTTATTTTGTGTACAAGTTTTCGGGAACAGATGGGATCGGAGGGGTTCAACTGGCTCGTCAGGTGTGTATCTGGCGGTTGCGAGTATTGGGGCCCCTGGATGTCCATCAGTAATTGTGTATAGTATGTATACAAGGGAACGGACGGACATCTCTTGCTGGATGCAAGGATGGACCATTTTTCTTGGTGTCGAGATTTATTCTTTCAAGACTATGCTTTGGGAATCCGAATGGCAGATAATGGGCGGTTGGTGCATCGGACGGACAGGAATGGACTGGAATGGATACCACGAAAGGATTGGAGCGTTTTTATAGCGGCATGAGCCTGCTCTGATGATACCCATGGGCGCTGAGCCTCGGTATCTCTTTGTTTTGTTTTTCACATCTTGCATCGAGGATGTGATTGAGCATATTAATATTTGTTCATCTGAATTGGATATCTTTGCAAATCAAATCTAAGTCATTACATCACACGCAGTGGTAAAATATGTTGAGCCATGGCTTCACGGCGACATAATGGGCATTCGGGTTTTTCCCTCACCCAATCTCCTATACACTCCCAACAGAAGACATGACCGCATTGTGTTGCTGAGGGGTCTCTCATCTCTTCCAAGCACAGTGTGCACTTTCTCTGTTGTCCACCCTTGATGTAGCCCATGACCTTGTCATCATTCAATTGAATACGTGGCACAGCTGCTGCTGGGGTGTGTGTGGCAGCAAAGATGTCGACTTTGGCCTTTGAGCTTGAAGCCCCTGTGGGTAGTAATAGGTTGTTATCACCATTGTAGGCTCCGTCATGGTTTAAAGAGATATCATCAGAAGCCCCAAAAGCAGCGCGTTCGCGAGCTGCTGACTCGGTAATTGTAGATCGAACATGAGTATAGCCCTGAACCGCAAGTTGAATGACCAGCAGTACGCCTAGGAGTTCGTATCCTGCACGATCGGGTGTGTCAGGAACGGTACGTGTGAATACGTATCGTAGGGAGAGAAGTCTCTTGGACAGCTGGTAATATGTACCACTGAAGTAGAAAAGGGCTAGAATAACGGCCTTGAAAGGAGCGCCTGATGTGAAAGAGCCCAGATGTTGATCCAGGTAAGACCACATGCGCGCTTCACGTCCTGTCGCCGAACCGTCATCTCGTTTGCGAAGGCTCTCTAGCCGGCGCTGTAGAATGTTGCGCAACCGAGCGCGTAGTCCAGGGAGAATCCGGGCCGCGATATAGGGGAGGAGAATGCTGGCAGCTACGTAGCCTGCGCGACGGCCAATAGCAGGGAGTTGGCCATCGCGCGCATCTATCTGCACAAGATCGCAATACTCCTCGCCGAGAGTTCGGTTGCCGGGGATTGTAGTGAGAGCAAAGTAGGCGAGTGTTGCGAGGGTCTGGATCTCGGGTGCGCGGGCGTGTGTGAGACGGGCACCGCGAAGGCGACGATGCAGGTCGCTCAGGATCTGTGTGAGGTGGCCGGTGAAGTATGCATCCTTTTGGTGAGAGCGGATGATGTCGGGGGCGGTGGCAAAGGGATATGGTGATGATGATGACGATGCTGAAGAGGAGGAGGAGGACATGATGATTTATGATCGGCAAAAGCGAGCGCGCATGCGCATGCACGGGGTGTTACGAATGGATGGGAGAATCGAACGTGGTCTGATTATTCGGGCAGTACGAAGGCGAAACGAATGAAGGCCAAAGCCGAGGATAAGGAGAGATTGGGAAAACGATATGGTGAAGAAGGCAGATGATTAATTAGTAGATTGGCGGTTGGAGTTTAAGCAGCAAAACGAACCTCGGTCGGGACAACGTTAAGCTGAGGCGCTAGCATTTCGGTATTCGGTAACCTCAGGGAGTAAGAAAACATCAGACCTTGATGTAGGGTGCCCAAATAAACTTAGTAAAGTTATCCTAAACTCAGTAAAATTACCCCAAGTCATAGGCTACGTTACCTAAGTCTTTTTGTCATTTAGGATCGAGGTCTCGAGTTTTCTTTCCTCCACTAGGGTAGGTACGGAGTACTCTCCAAGTTGTTACCATGTGAGTAAACATTTCCTCTTTAGGAAATACACATATTTAAGTTATTACTTTAGTACTATGTAGGTATGCAAAGTAGATATGTGTAGTCGGCCGTCCTGTATCCTAAGGGATCAACAGATTTAGGTAAATTCAGTACAACTTAGTAAGTCTTTAGACTAGCTAGGTACTTTATAGTCATTAAATGTGAGATGTTTTCTCGCCCGTGGAGGGCCACTCTGGACAACAAGACGAAGAGCAAGTTGCTGAGCTGATCATCTCTTGACTTTGATCTTTTCTTTTCACCTTGTCTACTTCTATTGTGCCATCCTTGGCTTCCCCTTTCTTGCCTTGACTGGCATCGTATCATATCCTTCACTTTAAAACAGTCTCGGAATGGTTTTGTTAATGTGTCCTGCGCTAGCGAGCTCTCTTTCTCGAAACCGTCATGCATACCTAGTAATGGACTGTATGCTCCTAGGTCATTGCTTATTCAATCCTTGTTGCGCATTCTTCTCAGTTTTACCTTGAACTGCCTAAAGAAGAGCTTATTGAGATTCAAACATAAATAGAAATTGACAATACCTAGTCAGCAGCACTTATAGAAAGGCCAAAGGATTGCCCATGCACAACCAGAATAGGTATACAATAACAACGTTTCCGCCACACATCGCAATGGCACCAACAATTTAAACAAAAGGCTCTCCATACAGGTATGGGCCCTCGCTGAATCAGAGGCCAATTTACTCCGTACTTCTGTTGAATTAATGACGTAATTGCTGCCTCCAATGGTAGCCTTAGCGAGGTCCTGTCGCTTCTCACCATACCCTCTATGCCTCTTCCTTTAGCCCATCCAAGAGGGCATTATGCTTTGATTCACCCATCGCACGTCTCTAGTACGTTATCCAAATGCTCCCTGGTCAGATCACTCTTCTAACATAAATCATAGTCACCGTCTCGATGTATACAGGCAACAGCCTGCAGCCTGCAGCCCGACGAGGGAGTCTCTTTTGAACAACGATATTTCCGGTCATCAACGGAGAGCACTACCCAACGCAATCCTCAGGAAATTGACAATCGCAAGACCCAAGTCAATCCTAAATCTCCCACCAGTTATTCAGCGCATGTTAAAGTCTCCTTTGCTACATCAAGAATGTCGGTAATGAAGTTCAATAATTAGACTGATCGCGGTATCCGATACATCAGATTTGGTGTTGCACAGGACGAACCTCGTTGGAAGAGAATTTGGCTGTCATTCTTACGCGGAGCCCAAGCTGAAGCCGCAAGTCCGCCATTGCATGTAGCGAGGAAGATTTCCGAGCAACTCCCATTAGACCAAGATCATCACCCTGCTTCCAGTACTGGCTCTCGACGGAGGAGATATTTGGCTGCCCAAGTTTCATGGAGAAATGGTCTCCCTTCATAAAGGAAGAAGAAACTCAAATCTTGTCGCCTCGAGTTGAGGCTGTACTCGCGAAGATCAAAGATATTCGCAAGCTCTGGCCCGGGGAGAAGATTGTTGTGGTTTCCGAGTTTGTCCTTTTCTTGGACATCATTAAGGAAGCAATTGAACGGCGTAGCAAGACAGATCCCAATCTCGGGATCCGTCTTGCTGAGTACAACGGCCCTGTCAATCTGGAGGAACGCTCTCGGGTCCAATATGCCTTCAACCTACTAACTGGTGGACCAGAAGTTCTTCTGCTTACTGCAGGAGCTGGTGGGGTGGGCCTCAACCTTGCTAGGGGTACGCATATGGTTATCACGGAGCCATGTTGGACACCTGGTAAAATTGACCAGGTTATCGGGCGAGCACATCGACTCCCTCAGGAGAAGAAAGTCCATATATGGCACATCAAAACACATCCGTCTGAAGTCGAACAGGTCATCGGGCAAGTCCACAGGCTTCACCAGAAGAACAAGAAGACTTCTAGGCCTCAAGCTTGCCAGGGACATACACATCAACACTGAGCCTTTGTGGACACTTTGGAAACTGAACCAGGTCATCAGGCGAGCCCGTTGGCTCCCCCAGGACAAGACAGTCCATATATCGCACATGAGAGCCCACCCGTCCGAGATCGACCTGTTCGTCCTGAATCGACAGGCCCAGAAGGTCCATTTTGTGAGACAGCTTCTCCATGCTGTTACAGGAGAAGCAGATGTAAAGGCCCCTGATTAGGCAGTAGATATCAATAAAAAGGTATTGCCTACTCACACAATCCACCAGTGGGCCAAAGAACGGGCCAGGGATGTGGTGGAAAACGAGCGTATTAACAAGTCGTTAGAGGAGTGGGCTTCTGCTCTGCAGAGTCAAATCAGATGAGCTTTAGGATTGCTTTAGGATTTATTTACTAAGCTTAGCCTAAACTTATGCCTCTATTCTAAAATCTTCATAAACTTTACCTAACTCTTTTGTACAGTTCAGATGAAATTGAGGGAAATAAGGGGCGGACTGGACAATACTGTTGAAGAATTATACTGGCTTTGCAGCTGTGACATCTTTCTCTACCTTTAAATTAATTTCCTTCCCTATGCTGTTGGGGCCCCAGAGGCGGTTGGTTGAAGTCAAACGGCGCCATCACGCCTTGTTCCGAACCTTGGAGCTGCATACTCAAGAACTCGTCCGTCACAAGTGTACCTAACTCTTCGCCCCATTGAGCCATGAGCTCAGCCGTGACATTGTGACCCAGCTCTAGGCCGTTCATGAGATCTGGCCCAATGAGAGGATCTTCCGGGGGCATCACAACCTGTGCACTGCGTGCCCGTACGACATAATCTTTGATCTCACCCATGCACGGCCAGGTGTGCTGTACTTCCTCCATTGCGTCAATGACGGTCGAGAGTGACCGTGCAATGTCTGAGTCTTCCCACGAGGCTCCCTGGAAGAACCTCTTCATCATAATGGTTCCAGCTGCCGTGGATAGAGTTTGGACAAAGTCCAGTGGCAATGAGCGGAATCGATAGTGTCGCGAATATGTTCTCATCAGGCGCAGGACAGCCTGCAGCGACTCGTAGCAGATCTCCACGTCTTCGCTTTCAGCAATACCTTGTTTCTCGTACATATGCGAAGGTGGCCGGTGAAGAATAATCATGATTGTATGGAACAGCATGCTTTAACTTGTCAGTATACAAAGATGACGCGGCTTAGAGGGCAACTCACTGCATACGAAGCACCGAGGGTTGCACCACGCCCACAGTCCATTGGTTCCAGTGCAGAGTACCGGGAAGACTCGATAGCCACTTTGTGAGCGACACGTGTATTTGTCGTGACCTGGCTGCAGCTACGGTGGCGTCGACGTTACCTCGACGGTTCTCGAAGAGATCCGTGATCATGAGATGGGCGATCTTGCACAGCTCTGCCTGGTAAATGAAGGATCCAACAAGGGCAACCCCGTCTTCGAATTCTGTTGCCGAAGCACCTTTACAGATGTATGTATCCAGCAAACCCTCCCAGTCTGGAGGGTACTGCAGTCTGATAGTGTTGCGGACGTCTGATTCGCTGGGGTGCAGAGCTGGTGGTCTTCCGAAGTAGAGACTCAATTGCTTGTCGGCAATGAATATAGCCCAGTAGACTCGTCTAAGAATCTCCGTGTCACGATTTGACGTTCCTTCTGTCGAGGCGTCCCAGTTGTTTGGGTCAAGGTGAAGGCCCATCTCGTGGGCAAGTCGGAAGGCCATACCAGCAAAGAGCCATCCCTTTGACGTATGACCTACACCAATCTCACGGTAACCCAACAAGGCCAAAGCCTGCAAGGTGGTGAGTTCTGGACTGTCGAGAGCTGCGTAGATCAGTTGCTGGGCCTGGTGGGCAAAGATATCGGACACTGAGCGGGAATCGTCGAGCTGCATGGCGCCAAGCGAGCAGATAGCAAAGAGCAGAGCATCTGAGTAGTATCTTCCCGAGCCAACATCATAGTCTCGTAAGAAGTACTCTCTGTAGATGAGCATATGGAACTGATATTGATACTTGAAGTAGGCAGCCATGCACGCCTGGGAAGTCTCATCGTGAGGTGCGTAGACAAAGCTCGGGTCTCTCGGGCTACTGGAAGCGCTCACTTCCGGCATGTTCATCATGAGCGGTGTGGAGTTGGATTCGAGGTGAGTAGTTATCTCATCTGGGGATAATGAGACCTCTTGTGAGAGATGGATGTGAAAGGCGCTGGTGCCGCCAAAGAACTGAGTGGCATGGCTCGACCGAGGGCGTCTCAGCTGTCCAGAGCGGACCTGCGCAGCTACAACTTTTGGGTCAGTGTTTGACTTGGAATGGTCAATCTGCGACTTTTGTGCAATGTCGAGTGAGGCTGGTGGTGAGAGAGCTATCTCGGACAGCATCTCATCTCTCTCAGCGCTGTCAGCAACGGCGAGCTTGCGAAGCAGTAGTTCCAGAGATGCCACTTGACCCTCTAGAGCTTGAACATAGCCTTTAGATATTGGCCTGGTAGGTTTTAGAAGAGTTAGTGATAGTTCATGGCTCTGACGAGGTAGAGTCATACCGTTGCTTCTCTCCGCTACCGCTGAGGATACATTCGGTGCCAGCCTTGATACACCGCGAGCACGGTCGTTTTCGATCACATTTTATCTTTTGGGAGAGTTAGTTCTGAAGTCGATGAAAGAGCTAGAGACTTGTATATCGCACCTTGCGGCGACGGCATCGTTCACAGCTGTAGTAGTCATTTGGGTCAGCGCATGAAAGTGGAGTAGGCTTAGATGAGGGGATTACTCACGATATCTTGATGGACTCGCCCATTGGCGTTTCCTCCATGGTGAAGGGATGTGTAGAGGAGAAGACGCTTGAGTATGGGTAGTTGTCTGAGCGTTGATCACTAATTCTTTTGAGACAAACAATAGTCGTACCATGGATCGTGGAGTGGCAGAAACGGCTCGTTTAGACGCCAAGGGTGAATCGCTAGATACTACTGGCTGTTTTTAGTGGCTTGTCACTTGACCTCAGCATTCAATCATTCGTATATATCTAATCACTATGTGTTGCCTCATACTATCCCAGGGCATAATAGAAAATATGAACAGATTAGGCAGGAGAACTATCATCTAGAGATGAATGATTCTGGTAGATTTTGACTTGAATTGTAGACGGCGTGATTTCACTTGCTCGACGTCCCGGGTTAGCTCCAAATGATATGATCTGACAATTGTTCGACCTGCATTTGGAGAGTAAGGATGCATGGCTATAATCGAAATTGTCCAAGACAAACGTTGAGTCTTGAGCGAAAGGTCTCCTTGGATATAGTGGCTAATGCCTCAGCTGTTCAGCCAGTGTGAGGAGAACTCCTTGCAAATGGGAGCATGTCAGTTGATTGATGGTGGGCACAAACAATCTTTTGAGCCAACACAGGGTACATAGTAAATTGGTGAGCATCCTTGGCTTGCAGCCAGCCTTGTGGATTAAAAACAATGAGCCAATGCTTATGGTATAGTAAATATATGGATCTTGAAATGAAGCCTGATCGGAACATTGCTGCAGATACGATGTATGCATACTGTATCTTTGATGCACAGCCTCAAAGTTGACAGGGTTGTAGACTCATATGTCGATGCTCGTTGTGCTTGCTCGCTGCGAGAACAGTCTGTTGAATATCTGCTATGGTTCGTGACGAGAAGCCTACCATTTTGTTGTAGGCGGCTATCACGTCGGCAGTGATGTTGTCGCGTTCTGAATACCTCAGTCTATCTATCGAGGACTACTGAGCCAACCGCCCGTCCAGCACAATGACACCTGAAACACTTGAGTATGCGCTGCAGTAGTCAACCAACAAAGTAATGAACCCAAAAGATAAGACCGCTGCTCTGCAAGAAGCAACCAACACGAATATGCTTAATACAGAAATCTCCGAAGGCGCAGGACGATTGATGACAGGGGAACATGCGGCCAACGGCCACAGAGACAATGACAGGGGATCTTATGAGTGACATACTCCGATACTGGACATTCAGACTCCGTAGTAGTAGTAAGAAGAAGAAGAAGGGCTGAAAGAGATGGCGAGTCTCGGCATTGAAAGCAGGGGTAAATAATACTAACTTAGACCTGTAACTAACATCCCTTTGGCCTGTTCCTTGTTGACCCGGTTCAGGAATACTCTGCGAGAACAAACAGGCCAGCCCCCCAAAGTGCCAAGAACTGCAGAGCCCAGCCTACTAACCCAGGTCTATCGCCCACGCCGCAACCTGGAACGACTTGGCCCATTGAATGCCTGGATGCCTCTTCCGCATGATGGGAAATTGTGGAATTGGGTCAAGTCTCGACCTCGGACCCGCCACGATATGGGCTATGCTTGATATCGGCCGAGGACAGCCCAGGGCAGGGCCAAGGATATCGTGATTTAGCCTGGGTTCCTACAGTAGCGCTGAGATTCGGCCAATGATGGCTGCCACGTTTTTCTTGTCCGTAGCCTGTACGGAGTATCTTTAATATCACCAACTGCATCTTACCTGTAATTCCACGGCTACCTTACATACCTCCTTACAGTGATGCTGTCTCTGACTCTGAGGTGCCTTCGCTTAGATTCGACCCCCCCAATCCAACCAATGATGCCTCCAGATACCTGGCCATAAGACGGATTCACTCTGGATTCTTGGCTCTTGGCTATACTTTCACCTCTACCTAACCGCCCACTGATTTGAAGTACCTGTAGCCCCCCTGCGCGGGTGTGGCGGCCGACTAACACTAAAAAAAAAAAAGCAAGGGTCTAAACGGTTTCTTTCAACTTACATGGGCCAGCCAACACTCACTATACCTAGGTAGCTACCTAGCCTACTACCTTTGGTACGGTAGTAGGCGAGGGAACTCTTGGTATCGTCGTATGTGTGTATTAAAGGTCCCCATTGTCAGCTCAATTAGTCTCGTTTCCTTTGTTTCGTATTTCTTTGTCTATTTTACGACCTCGTATTAATGAAACTGTCGGTCGTACTTAAACAGCTCGCCAAAATCCGAGGTCTAAAGCCCCTGGTTGTTGAACCACCCACATTCAAAACACCAGAGACCGAGTGCCCTCAACTATAATGACAGTCGCTCCGAAACAGCCGGATCCTGTCTCCGAAGAAGACTCTGTACATACGCCCAATAACGCGAACAACATTCATGATGGAGCGGCAATAAAAAAACAGCCCAGCCGGAAAAAATGGTTCATAATTGGTGCAGTTGTGTTCTTAATAGTGCTAGTACTGAGCTTGACGCTGGGGCTGTATTACGGACTCAAAAAGGTATGTTGCAACTGATCACCCAAGCACGCACAGTCTTTGGCAGTCTGTAAAATACAATCTGAAGCACGACTAAACCTGTGTCCTCCAAAGGAACACAATGTCGATACACCCGCTGCCAAAGACAACACCGACCAGACTCCCTCTCCACAACCCAACGATAATCCAGACAGCAACTCAGATGACAATGATAATAACAATGACAAGGGGAAAAGCTCAGATGACGATAAAGAAGAACCCGCAAAGAAGAGAGAAGGTCCCTCCGTGGACCTGGGTTACTCCAGATATCAAGGCAATGTCCTCGAGAGCAACATTCACGAGTATCTCGGCATACGCTATGCAAAAGCCCCAACGGGGGATCTTCGATGGAAAGCACCTGAAGAACCCGGGTCCACAAGCGGAACGCTAAAGGCTCAAGAGGTAAATACAATTCAGCTCACGTCACGTATCGAAAACATCTCATTCTCTATAGTACGCCCCTTACTGTCCAGGGGTCAACGACGGCCTCAGCTCGCGCATTGACGAAGACTGTCTATTCGCCAACATATGGACTCCTGCAAATGCAACCTCTGACTCAAAACTCCCCGTCATGGTCTTCTTCCAATCAGGTGGCTACATTAGGAACGCTTCTCCCTACGTGAACGGCACACAGCTCGTCTCGGCCTCAAACAACAACATCATCTTTGTAAACTTCAACTACCGTGTTGGCATGTTTGGGTTCCTCGCTTCCAAAGAGGTCAAGGAAGATGGCGACCTCAACGCAGGGCTGCTGGATCAGAGATTCCTCCTCAAATGGATTCAGAAACACATCGAGGAGTTTGGCGGTGATCCTGAGCATGTCATCCTCCATGGCGAATCTGCCGGTGCCGGATCTGTGGCGCTTCAACTCGTTGCATATGGTGGAAAAGACGACGGTCTTTTTGCTGGCGCCATTGCTGAGTCGACATTCATGCCTGGTCTCCCGAGCCCGGACGATCTACAGTATCAGTATGATCGAGTTGTCAACGCCACAGACTGTGCGGATGCCGACGACACGTTGAAGTGCCTCCGCGGAATCAAGTCGGCAGACCTTCAATCCCATAACGCAAAGGCTCCTTTCGACGGCCGTACTTATCGGTCCTACTTCTACTGGGCGCCCACTACCGATGGTGACATGTTTCCAGACTTGCCTTCTAAGCTCTACGAGAAGGGCGAATTCGTCAGGGTGCCACTGCTATCGGGCTCTTGTACAAATGGTATGTACCTGGACCCATTTCCATGCCGCACTGCTAATTCCATACTCAGAGGGATCCAACTATGCCGTCAACGCAGGCAGCTCAGATCAGTTCATACGCTACATGCAAAATGAATACCCCTATTTGACCACAGATGATACCAAGACCATTCTCGACCTCTATCCACAAGAGCCCAAGATCGCAAAACACGATACTTGGTTCCCCTCAGCCTCGCGTGCATACGGCGAAGCAACCTTCATATGCCCTACAAACAACATCCTCAACGCCTTCGCTGAGCACGCCGACCCCAAGACCATCTGGTCCTATCGCTACAATGTCGCCATTGAAGAGTTCACCAACGACGGCTATGGCGTTCCCCATGTCTCCAATGCGCCCGCCGTCTTTGGCCCTGATATGACTGCTGCCAAAGCTGGGCCCAGCTATCGCACTTACAACGCGCCCATGATCCCTATTGTCCAGAACTACTGGATCAGTTTTGCCCGTAGCTTCGACCCAAACACTCACCGTGACGACGATGCTCCTCGATGGGAGAACTGGGGTGATGACCAGCGGCGTCTAGTTTTTGAGTTGAACAACAACACCATGGAGAGTGTGGACAAGGGCCAACGGGAGCGATGCGAGGCCTGGTTAGATATGAGTGGCTCAACCAAGCAGTAATGATCTTCACGACTTTGATTACATCACGATTCACAAGCATTTATTTTACCGGATTTACTTGATACCCATGTCATATATGTAATACATCTACTCACATTCACCCTGCCGACTCAATGTGGTCTCCTGGACTAGTTGATTTCGTTCATCACCGTGATTGCCCTGAACCAAGTAATCGTATGTATCATCTGATGCTATTTCTGCCTCAAGTTGCTCAACATATCAATGCTTAGCATAATGCCGTTATGCTTCATGCCACCCAAGGAATATGTTCAACTACCAACAAAATAATCGCTATAACATTCAGTTATGGTAGTTAATAGTCTCATCCTGGTTGAATTTAACAGGAAAAAGGTCACCATGTTACCGTTCAGAACCCGAATCTTGAGATCGGCTCAGTGTCCGTCGCATTAAGGCTTGGACTGCCTTCTTTGCCTCTGCTGCCCAGCGCTTCACTCGACGTGTTCTATTGCGTATTCTCTGTGGCAAAATTACACTCGGTGCTAGCATAGAATCTTCAAAAGAGCTGCCCTGAGTAATCTCAGATCGTAATGGTGTAGGGTCGCTAAGGTTTGCTGGGCCTCTTGGTCTTTTCCGCATGTTCGTCGGCGAAGCCCGGTGTCGAAGGAAAGACGACTTGTTCCTCATGGGCTTTGAATAGAGAGTTCTGTCAAAATTCTTCCTTATGAAGTTCTTCCCCGAATATAGTGTTTTGTCAAAGTCCCATCTGTCGAATATGCCAAACCCGCTATCAAACTTTGGTTGACTCACTAATTCCGCAGTTACTATACCCTTAGTTGAAGGGGGATAAGGAATATCAAACTGGTCAGACAGCTGCCGCGAAGGTCCTCGGAGAGTTCCTTCGTCGATATTAGAGAGTCGCTTATCAACACCAAACTGGGCGAGTTGCTCTTCCAGTGCTTCCCTAAAGCTGGATCGTTCTGTAAAAGCGTCTCTGTGAGGAAAATTCTTTAACTCTAAGAGAGAGCTGTACTGCTTTAAAGGGCTGTTTCGCACAATTGTTACATCAGGGCCCATTAGCTTATTGCTCATTCGACTTCGAGACACTTTGAGTCTGAGTCTTGGCTTGATAGGATTACTGGAGCTTCTCTCAGGAATGCCCGGAGAATCAAGGCTCCATTTGCTCTGAAGCACTGACTGAGACGACCTTAGACGAACTTTGAACCGAGAGGGATTGGACTGGGTTAGATAGTAAGATGGCTTTGTCGAGTCATTGGTCCTTGATACTGGGTTTGAAGACATCCTATCCACACCTACTTTAGACTCCATGCGAATAGCATTATTAGCAGGACTGCTGGCATACATCTTATATGCTTGGGCTGCGGTATGTCTAGTAGAGCTCCAACATTGGAGATCGGGATTGTTTTGTGCTTCATCGGGTAACGGTGGCAGAGCCTTCATCAACTGCGGAATGCTGTTTGTGACCCTCAGCTGATGTGCTGGTGAGATTGGGTTAGGTGAAAGAATCCCAGCGCCGATATTTGCTTTTGGCACGTCCTGGGGCACGTCCTGTTTCGGGGGGGCCACCTCGTTCTTATTCGTGATCTTAATGTTTGTATTGGCGGGGGTTCGGCGATGATGCGCCCCATGGAGCTTTGGTTTCATAGAGACCGCTTCGTTTCCCATATATAACGAAGGTTCGTCTGGGCATCGAGCTTCCGTCTTTGGCAGAATGGGGGGAGGACTTGCCCGAACAGTGTCATGTTCACCAGATCCCTTCTCTTTTTGGCTACCCTCCCAAACCCAATCGCCTTCGCTAGTATCGATAGATAGTACTGGAGAGCCGCACTGGGCTAGAGTGGAAGTCATCAGGCGGCTTTCCTTTGGCTGCTCTCCTTGAGGTTTTGTATCAATGTCGCGTATTTCAGGCCCTATAGTTGAGATATCCGAGGTACAGCAGGGCTCGGGGAAACTTGAAAGCCCACCATTGTAAGTATCTGGTTGCTTTTGCTAAAAGCGGCTGTCTTCCAGCTTCTCCGTTGCTGGTTGCTCACAGACCGGCTGCATTGGAGATTGTTGGGTTCTTTGGATAGAGATCGGAGTTTCCTTGCAACTAGAATTAATATCGGAATCATAAAATTCTTGCCGCTCAGGACTGGACGCATGCAAGTTGCCATACATAGGCACTGAAGCTACCTGGGTTTGTTTGCTTTCACGTAAAGCTGAGTTTCCATAAGAATCTAAACTTGTTAGTTTCATCAAACTCATCAGCAAAAGTCATACCTTTGAAGCTGGCCGGGGGCGCCGTATCTGTTTCCTCCATGTCATCTCTCCTCAATATGCCGATAGTATGTCCTTGAGGAGAGCTAATTGTGGACGCATACTCAAATTCGCACGGGAATACTTTATCAAACTCTTCGGTATAATCGTAGTAGAACGAGCCTGGTGAACGAAGAGGTTGCATGGTATCGTCCGGGGCCCTGCCGTGATACATGTCCACGATGGAAGTCAAACTCGCAGATCGAACACTGTGGTCGCCAGGCATGTACTGAAGGTATGGAGATTTTGATGGCGGAAATTCCGCACCGCTAGGTCTTCTTGACGGATTGGCCCTTGAACCGTAATAAGGTGCGGATGACGAGCGCGGGGGTAATGAAGACATTGATCGGCTGAATTCGGGCCTCAAGGACAAGGGAGGATATCGTCGATGCTCGCGATAACCCCTATGCATGTGAGAACTGCAGTTCATGCGCTATTAACCATCAGCCTGGGGTTGGTTGTGAAAGAAGGAAGAGTTACTGACATGCGAAGACCTGTCAATCTCAACCATTCTCCGGTGATCAATGAGACCGTTATCTGTCACTGCTGGAGAAGAAGGCCGGACACTAGGCCGTCTCAGACGTGTGGGATATGGAAATGGTGAGCGAGGGCGCTGATGGCCATTATTACTTTGTTGACTGTGAAAGGTACCGGATGATTTAAAAGAAGGAACCCGTCTTGAACTGCACGTTGTCAAAGAGTGTGTTCGCTGGCCCTCCGATGCGGGAGAAAAAGACCTGGGATGAGGAACCCCAGGAGAGCCATATAATGAAATGATCTCGGAAGTCGTGTCTCGATACGAGGGTAGCGATCTACGGTCGTCCCGAATTGGACCGTCCTTAACTTCATCGTAATAAGGGCGAGCTGGCCGCCTCGCCCTTTTATGACCAACTCTTGTGCGAGGGGGTCGAGATGTATTTGAAGGTAAACCAGAATTGATGGAGTAGATACCAAGATCTCCGGTCTCCGTTGTCGTCTTGAGCATGCTCTCTAAAGGTCCGGTAGAGCGGAGGAGAGCCGAGGTGTCGTTCAAACTCTGGAAGGGTAGTCGTGGTTGAGAAGGAGACCGCAGCCTCGGGGTAGTGGAACGTCTTTCATGAGATTGATAGGCGCTGTTCAGTGAAGCTTGGCTGACTGATCTGTATCTGAAATCACCGAGGTCCATGATCACCCGCTAACAACTTGACGCTGTCGCTGCATGGAATGCAAATGGGGGAATAAGATAGACGAGGAATATTCAACTGATCATTTACCGATCAGGAGACCAAGAAGACCAAGAAAGTCGGAGTAGGTGATTAAAAGCCAAAATGGCAATAGTCACAGGCAAAAGATGGACACATTCTCGAGCGAATGATTATTAGCAAAGACGAAGTATTGAGATCTGATGGAAGTTGAGGTCATCTTGCGGCAAGGATCCTTCCTTCAGACAGGAATTACCTACTAAAGAATGAGGAGTCTAATGCTGGAATCCTTCCTATTTTCAAAGCGGCACGCTCTTGCGATTACACCTGCACTTACCATTATTTGAATTGGAGGACCGGTCTTGATCTTGCTATCTCTGATGAATATGAAGGAAGAGTTATCTACAATTAGCACCTACCTACCTTACATTGTTGTGGTTTGTAGGGAATACCAACCTAGGAGACACCTTCCTAGGTGTCCAGTGTATTTTAGGTAGGCAGTCAGTAGATTCCACACTTTGTAGACAGGCTGGGGCAGGAAGTGCAACAGTGCCAAAATTGAGGCCGGCGAGACAGCTCCTTCCACGTGACATGCAACGAAGTCATCACCAAGCTACCTACCTACTATAACTACCGTAGGGGAGGCAGGCCACCGTGGGATACTTACACGACCTAAGCAACGAAAGTATACATAGTAGTAGTAGTTGGACAACCTAGTCTAAGCTTGGGGGACTCTTTACTGTGTTTGTTTTGGCATCCTCTATTCAAGTCTCAAGTTTTCTTGCTTACAAAGTTGTTGTTGACTGTCTGTGGTGTGCTTGCCCAGAGATAAAGACCCACCTCTAAAGGTCTGTTTCAACGACGGCGTAAAGATCGACAACATTCTTGCCATCTATGCGATTGTAATACCGATGATATGAAACGCCACGAGATGAAGGAAGGCAATGGGTGTTGACGTTTCGGTGACACATACCTATGGGATGTTTACTCGTCAATGAATGTATATGGACGTGGGTGGCTCTGATTGCTCCTTCGTAAAGAGCAGCATTGGGCGTCAAGATTTATGCCAACGCATTGACTGATACGAATTGGTTCACTAACATAACATGCCTATCATGCCTAATAAGGCATTATCAAGTTGAAGGTGTCCGTGCGATAGACTAACATCTCGGCCACCTTCACCGCCGATAAGGGCTCAGGTGCATCACGAATCTCAATATGAGAGGGCCGATCACGGGTTTCTATTATTGTCATGCGAGTTCCTCAAAGAATTAACCGTAATAACGCGTGCATAAACACAAGTCGAGAGCTCTCCGAGCCATCTCCGCAACCGGTATCCTAGGTCTAGACGCAATTTCATGCCATTGGCATCTTCAAAAGGGTGTCCTCCGTGTGTAGCGTGACTCACCAATTTCGGACACGTCCAAAGGCAAAGCAGTTTGCGACAACCCTTGGCAAGGGACCTGGACTCGGGAGTGTGAGGACGGGACCGGAACCCCGTACCGAAAACGGGCTGCCGCATAGAGTCTAACTCAAACATCTGACTCGGCAACAGGGTTCAGTTGGCTCGATGGGTCTAGAGTGGCTCTTCTTGAATTGTTTCCACCAAAAACGTCAATTAGATGCCTGGATTTGGTTAACCCTGGTAGGTGGGCTGGGCTATAATACGGGATCAAGAAAGTGATCATCTTGGAGATGTCTGTAGATCATCGAGGGGAGCGAAATTCCGTGGAAGAAAGAAGCCCAATTTTTCATTCCAAGGTTTATCATTGAGGTACCACCATAGAAGGGATCATCTGTTTCTTCAGATTTAAGCCTAAAATGTTGGTGGAAAGTTTGATGTTTCTATTGTTACTCTTGGTGTGTGGGTTCTATCACAACTCAAATGCCTCGGCCACCCTTCAAGATTTTCCGTCCTTGTGGACGACTCTAGCCGGCAGAGCCTGGCAATCTCTGTCATTCAACTGGTCACCGTACCATCCCCGCAGTTTGTGAAGCCCACTTGGTTGGCTCCATGATTGCTTGTCCAAGCCTAGTCAGGGGTCTATCGCACACTTGGACTTGTTTGAGCTCTAGCTAATGTCGGATGCACATGTTTAACGGGCCTTTGAATTTGAACAAAAGGGAACCCTTGGCCTTCTCGCCCGGCTCTAGAAAGTCAACAAAGCATCAACGATAGATAACGTCCTTTTCTCAGCTCTGAGCTTGGAGGATAAGCAAAGTTTTTTTTTTAATTCTTATCCCGATCCTCAGCGGACGTGTATCATTTCTTATAACAGTGTCAATTTCGACGCCTTCCAACACCCAGTCTCACCACACCAAACATCCAGCACCGGTTTCAGTTTGTCTTGCACAATGCCGGATCGAAGGCCCATCCTCACTCTCCCACTCCCAGCTCGGGATCCCTTTGAATCTCAACGACCTGGGTCATCACTTCAAAGCCCTTCAATACGCAGCCCCCGATTTCATGAAGACTTCGATGCACCTTTCTCGTTGGACATCATGAACGCATCGAGAACAACTCTCGCAACCGACACCATGAGTTTTCCTTCAACTGGCACAACTAGCCGTAACAGTTTTGGCTGTGATGGTGACCGACCTTCACCCCTTCAACATCGCAATGCCTCCTGGGAATCAGAGACTAAGCGTCGGTCAAAGGTCAATGATCGCATCCTGGAGTGGGCAAAGAGATCATGGGGGGCTGTACGCATGCGGCCCAGCTCCAAGGATGACCCCAAGGACGACTATTTTGAGGGTCACCCAGCCCAGAGCCCAACAAGCGATATAACGTCGCCTTCATCAGATAATATCACACCCTCAGAGCCCGACGGCGGCCGAACTACCCACAGCAGTCAAGTGTTTGCTGTCACTGGGTTGCCAAGTTCGAAGGCAGGATCGAAGTGATGAGTTGAAAAGGATTTCACACACCCTTATCTTAATTATTAATGAGGTGGGAAAGCTAGTAACGAATAATGTCGGCGTTAGGAGGCACCTTGTTTCTGCTCGGCTCCATGAGATGACCGATTGCAAGACCAAGGGTCTTGAATTTTAGGATTACCGAGGAACCAGACCTCAATAGGAGGATTGCCCTCAGAATACACCACCGCCAATGATGAAAAGGCGCTCTTCTTCCCTCTTGGCCCACTGGATAATCTTGTTCGCTCCTTGTGTAATCGTCGCTCTCGACACATTAGGCCCAGCAACACAGTAAAACTCAAACACAGGTGTGGTCCAGGCCAATGAGGTTGCATCATCTCCAACAGCGTGCAGAACTTTGAGATGCGAGTGTTTGGCGTGAATGGATGCATGGAGCTCATGGTACACCGTCATCAATCTCCTGCGCTCAACAAGACCAGTGAAGTGCGGCTCCAATGACGCCATGCAGAATTGTACATTGGCCCGCGACTTGTAAAGGAAGTGGCTGACTTGGCTCCCGGGGGCAATTTCGTGTATTTTTGGTCGACCAAGGCGGGTGGCGTTCTGAATAATAGCCAATGTCCCATTTTTGGCAAGCTGCTGGGCGACGTTGTCCCGCATCTGCTTCAACTCGAAGAAACTCTCACGATCAGTGCTTACGAGGATCATTGCGATTTCTTCTGACGAGCGCCCTTGTGCCGCTGCAGGAGAACTAGCTTGATCCCCAGAAGTGCCGTCAAAGAAACTGACGTACATGTAAAGATAACCTTTGTTGTTGAAAGCGGGAAGGCAAATGGGGATCCAGTTCTCTCCACCACCACCCTTGATGCCGTCGCTCTCGAAGAGCATATTGAAAATAAGTTGCAGGTCGCTGGGATGAAGTGAATGCCGGCGAGGCCGAATGACGCTGACAAGTTTCCCGCCAGCAACAATTAGACCATACAGCAACTTGTCCGTACGCAATTTGAGGAAAGTATTATTGATTGCATGCCGCTGAGACTTCCGAAGCCGGAGGCATTCCAAGGATCCAAGCAAAGCGGAAGCAGATCCCTTTGTGAACGTATCAGCCAGAGAAGACAGAAGACCCTCAGTCCCTTCGAGAGGCTTTCGCAAGTCAGTTGACGGTCGGTTCGCAAAAATATGAGTTAGTCTGGGCAAGGTTAGTGTTGACAAGATTTGCATATATAGCGCATCCAATTGTGCCTGTATCTGCGAGTCGCTTTCGCCCAGCTTGCTGATAGCGACAAAGTAGAGCGGACCTTTGGTCAAGACAACAAAACGGGTATCCCCAGCAGAAAAAGCCTGAAGGGGATTCATGGCACCTTCATAGAATGAAATGATGGTTTGAACAACGCCCATGGAGGAGTTTATCAGACTTAGATCTCCATAGCGGCTCCAAATGGGCTTTCCGGCTGATGACAGAATCAGATAATGCTTCAGTTTCGACTTCCAGAGATGCAGAATGTCAGATTCAACATCTTCGCCATAATCCTCCGGTAGAGAATTGAACTCGTGATGAAACTCGGCGAATCGGTCGTTTGCGCCTACTCTGCCTTTCTCAAAAGGAAGAACAGTGGCCGACTGAGTTCGCAGCATTTTCCAAGCTGGACTCTTCTTATGTAGTTCACCGGCAAGTAGACTTGCGATATCGCCAGCAGGTCGCATTGTTGGTGCAAAACTCATAATGCTAGCAGTCTCGTCTGCCTCACCGCTGCCACTACTCTCCTGTCGATTTGGGGAAGCATGATCACCCTCAGCGGGGCTTGGGAGCGAGTCGGGACCAGGAGTGGAAAATGTCCCTCGAGATCCATCAGGAAAAGAGAGCGTCTGTATTTCAACAGGAGTTATTGCCGTGGTAGCATGGGCTTGCAGAGAGGCTGTGTCAGTAGCGCTCGTTGACGGCCGAGGCGGTAGAGGTGGACGATAGTCTTCGTTTGTGGGAGATGCTGGCTTTTGGCTCATTTTGTCTGACTCCATGATTGTGGCGGATAGCTCACTCGTCGCATTTCTTGGCCGAGAAGCCTGTCAGGGGGGGAGATGGAAGAAGACTTAATTTTGCCAGAATCATACGACCTGGAAATCCTCTGAAGGTAAGAGGCGATGCCATTATGCCATCTTGGGAGGCCGCAAATGATCACGAAGCGGTGATATCGACAAAAAAAAGAGGAGGTCAAGAGCTTCATGGGGGGCTCTTGTGACGTTGCATAATGGTGCCAAAATAAACTTGTCTAAAAGCTATAAAAAATAGACTAATTTTACCTAAGTCTTTTCATCACTTAGATAAGAGGTCGGGTCCTACCTTGGGAGGTAAGCTTTAGGTTCTTGCTTCCCTTTCCATGGCGGGGGGGGGGGGGCATGACGTGCTGTAGCTGCTACAGCCTTGCACTAGCCGGTCTAAGGCTCAGAAGCTTAAACCAATCAGAGCCCTCCACACTCACAGAGCTCCGCCAACTTCAGGGTGGCTTCAGCAGTTGAAGCTACCTATATGCTCCACGTAGCCTTCTGATTGGGATCTGATTACGACGATTCATAAACGACCCTGTAGACCACTTTTTGCGACCCTTAGCCTCTAGCGATGCCTTTTGCTGCTATCGCAACACGATAGGATACCCGATGTCCTTGATTTCACCTATAAGCGCATATTTCACTAGCCATGGCTCTTGAGCCCGGTTCCGGTCGCCGCTCAGTGTCTCCCGAGAGCTCGGGTCGAGAATCACCTATCCCACGCCAATGGAGGAACCAGCTGGGCGAAGGTGGGCGTGCGCCTTTGATACCGAGAGAAATTGGACCACTTTCTGACTCACAACGCAGAAGATTATGCCATCAAGGATAAATCTTATCGCAAATATGCACATGGAGTTGATAGGGCACTTGTCTTGTTCGAGACAGCCTTGGAGGAATGGGCAGACTACATTTCGTTCCTGAACAAACTTCTCAAGGTATGATATATGAGGAAATTACCAAGCCGTATACGTTAATAACGGATCCCAGGCTCTCCAAGCTCGACCCAAGTCGATCAATGCCATCCCATCCAAAGCGACTGTTGCGAAACGACTCTCACAGTGCCTCAATCCCTCCCTCCCGTCTGGCGTGCACCAAAAAGCTCTCGAACTGTATAATCTGGTATTCTCGGTCATTGGTAAAGATGGTTTATCGAGAGATCTACCTCTATATCTGCCAGGATTGGCCACAGTACTCTCCTTTGCTTCGCTGTCAGTAAGGGCACCATATCTAGATCTCCTGGAACGGCACTTCCTTGGCATCGACCCCCGATCACTTCGCCCAGCAATGAAATCTATAATACTCGCTCTGCTTCCTGGCCTTGAAGAGGAGACAAGTGAAGACTTTGACCGAACACTGCGCCTTGTGGAGAGTTTCAAGCATGCCATTAGACCCTCATATAGCGAAGAAATCACCAATCAGCATTCCTCAGGCGATGCTTTCTTTTGGCAATGTTTCTTCCTAGCATCGATAACCAGCCAGAGTCGTCGCTCTGGGGCACTTGCGTACCTGGTACGCTCTCTGCCACCCTTGGGGCCAAGGGCAGCCCCTGACCCGAATAAGTCAGCGACATCGCAAAGCGATGGCGATGAAGACACTAAAAGCAAGCTCGCGGAGGTCGTTACATCCCCTGAGCCGGGGCTCTTGTTGCGTTGCTTTGCGAGTGGCCTTTCTGATGAACAGCTACTAATTCAGCGCGGCTTCTTAGACCTCCTAGTTTCTCATCTCCCGCTAAATGCTCATGTCATTCAGTCCCGAGTAAAGCCGGACGACCTTGAGCTACTGCTCAAAGCGGCTGTTGGCGTAGTCACTCGGCGCGATATGAGTCTGAACAGGCGCCTTTGGGCGTGGCTGCTGGGGCCTGAACCAGCCGCTGAACATGAAGCCAGCGGCGACAATTCATCAAGCCCTCCTGCTGACCAGCATGCCTTCTTGGCTTCAAAGACCAACTATTTCGAAGAATTCGGATTGCAACCCCTGACCAAGGCTATCCTGCAAATGATTGAAAGCAGTTCTCATAATACAGCTAGTGAACGCGCCAAGCCTTACAGAATATGCTTGTCTTTGATGGATCGATGGGAAATTGGCGGCTTGGTTGTCCCTGAGGTTTTTCTGCCTATTATCGAGAGCGTGCGTCGATTCAAGGATATTGCCTCAAACAAGACAGAGTTCAACGAAGTCTTGCGGAGTGCTAGCGTATTCTTCGACGGTATCGAGAGCGGCCTCATCTACGGTGAAATTGCTGCACTTCTTGCCCAGGCTTTGGGTCCTGGAGCTCTCACTCCACCCGAGCGCAACGACAAACTCTCCCTTGTCAACTTTATCTTGTCCAACTTCAACGTGCGGGAGGAGGAGATGGTCACAATTCATGCACCTCTGTGCTGTCTGACAGTATTGGCTATGCTCCAAGACTTCAAAGAGCGTGTTTCTGCTAAGAACCATTTGGATCCGCAAATGTACTACCTTTCTACTCAAGCACTGAGCGTTGCCATGTCGCTCTTGGAGCTTGTTCCGGAGAGGGTCTTTCCTGCGATCAGCAACGACTCAGAGAATAGAAGCAAAAGTCTGCCGACAAACGTGGAGATTTTGAAGAAGTCACAGAGCTTTTATGTCAACGAGCAGGGTAATATTGAGGTGTCTGCCTCCCCCTTTAATGCTTTGACTATAGGACGAGCTATCATAGAAAAGGCTGCTCAATTTGTCTGCCAGGACCTAGGATCATCTGAGACTGATCTCAATGCTTGTATTCGGCTACTCGTTCTTGTAATCCACAAGACCCCAAGAACATACGAAGGCAAGGAGGTGGAACTCCTGCAACTCATGTTTGGACTTCTTGAACACCCAGATATTATGGCATTTTCGTCCTTCTCGGCTATCCTGCAACTGTCTACTCAGCTTTACTATGCTGAGAGGATCGAGACAGCACAATTATCAAGTCTGGTGCCCCTCTTGGTCCGACATGCCTGGACTTATCTGTCAGCATCTGAACCAAAATACCACGTCGAAGCAGTCAGAGGTTTATGGCAACTGCAGTCGGCTCTATCCACATCCAATCGTGATATTGAAGCAGCATTGTCCAGTCTTATCATCTCACAAGAGACCGCTCGTCTGGGTGTCATTGAGGCGGTTGACAAAGGTCGTGCTTTGAGTGTGCTATGGTCACATACTTTACAAGATAATGTTTCGCCTGAGCGTCGAGGTTCTAAAACCCCGACACAGGATATGAAAAGCCTCCCGCGCCTTGCGGGAGCCGACAACTACGAGATCATGCTCACACAGCCAGTATTCCTCATCCTTGATGCCCTACAAGATGATCGGACACCCTTATATATGACAGTCAAGGCGTGGCTTAACACAATGCTGGGGATTGATAGGTGAGTCTCAGTTCTGATAATTTGGAAACTACTGCTAATGAATACCAGACTCTTTTTGTTATTCATTTCCAGGTTATCCGACGTACCCTTCTTACAGACCCTAACACAGAATGACGAGAAACCCAATCAAGATCAATTGTCATTCTCTGAGGACGCGGATCTGGATCTTTCTCTTTACTACCTCAGAACACTTTCAAATATATTGACGTGCGCTGGAGATATTTCATGGACTGTGATGTCATCCAAGCATGTTTCCTTTCATGGTCAGCATATGCAAATCAGTTGTAAGTCACCCATTTATACATGTGCAACTTGAAATTGACCGGATGAAAGCTGGAGGCGAAGAAAATGAGATGACATTGCAAGAGTTCTTTATTCGCGTATGCATGAGGTGCATAACGGCCAACTCCCCTGACAATGCTACCAAGGAGTTTGGAGATCGTGTCAACCAACTCTACAGATACGCACTCAGCCTTCTGCATAAGTTTCTCCTTAGTCCTTTTGCCGCCTCCTTATTAGCTCAGCGCCTTGAAAATGTACTCATCGATCGACTCGAAAAGTCTCTTCAAGGCTCAGATGGATATGTGCAGGTTCTTTTGCTTGATGTTGTTTATGATACACTCAAGCTTAGAGATATCGGCCCGGCTGACGTTCCAACTTCCCCTATATCTGAAAGACGGCCATCTTCGTTCGACCCAAGGGGAAGCCGACCATCACTTTCAGTGCCAGAAGCCCGGATAATCTCGCCACCGCCACCTCAACTTCTCCAGTGCTTGCAAGATGGCCTCAGCTCACCCAGTAGTCGCCCGGTCCTAGACAGCTGGGTTGCTTTCGTGTCCGAGTGCTTGCCGCTATACTCCGATTCTATCTTCCAGGTACTCATTCCCTTAGTTGAGACACTTTGCAGAGAAATCAGTATAACCTTCACCAACTTACGAGAAACCTTCTCCTCCAATGCCCTCTCTCCTGGTAGCGAGAAATCGTCGCCTGAGTCTACCCTCATTTTCCTCCTCAATGGCCTCGAGCAAGTTCTGGCACGGGCACATCAACAGCTCCTGAGCGAGGAAGCTCGGACACAGGTGGTAAAGAGCCCGGATCAGCCCCAGTCTCTCTTCGGAAGCATGGTGTCAAACGTGTGGCAATCAGATACCCCCCAGTCTCGCAGTGCTACAGCAAATGACCGACTGACAGTCCATCTGGCGTTCCAGGATGCTGTCCGTATCTGTTACAAGATTTGGACATGGGGTCAGGGCAATGACTCAAGCAAGCAAGATCAAGACTCCTTTGGGTCATTCACTTATACATCCTTGCGGATGCGTAATCGTGCTAGGAGATTACTTGAACATCTGTTCGCTGCAGAGAATCTCCAGTGCCTGGAGACAGTCATTGCTCTATGGAAACAATCAACTGATGGCGTTGAGTCGACCCAGGTCTTCAATATGCTTTCTGCGTTGGAGGCATGCCGGCCCAAGCACTGCATGCCTGCATTGTTCAATGCTATCTACCGGAGGACTGGTGCCGGTGCTGTTGACACTGCATCTAAGTCCACGATGACAATATCTCTCCAAGACACCGATCTTGTCTGGTTCCTTGTGGAGTATACAAGGACACTGGATGATGATGCCATGGACGAGATATGGCAGGATTGCATGGCCTTCCTCAAAGACCTTCTCACGAATCCATTCCCACATAGACAAACATTGCCAAACCTCCTGGGATTTGCTGCTCTTTTGGGCGAGAAAGTTGACAACACCAACTTTGGAGAACAGAGAAGGATGAGAAAGGAGCTAGGGGTATGTTAATCCTCATTTATAACCTCCGCGTTTGCTAACATCGTTATAGGACACTTTTATCCGTCTTCTTGCTGCTCTTTTCACTACAAGACCTGTGGCGTTCACAGACTCAACAACATCGGGCGGTGGTATTCCTAAATCCGACTCTGGGAACTCCCTGAACGGAGCCAGCGAAGGGCCAGATGACATTATCTCTATATTGGCCTCCATCGTTCCAAAACTGACAAAAATCTTGGTTGAACCTGACAGAGTCCTCTCTGCTGCGGCAACTATCTCTACTAATGTTATCGGACCAACCCTGAGGGCCAAAGGATTCCCTGACATAGTATCGAAGAACACGATGTGTCTTCTACACGAATTATCACGAGTCCACAATAACCAGAAGAATTGGAAGAAGGATGTCGGTGATGCTTTTAATGACCCCAAGTTCTTTGGCGTGGATCTTGATTTGGCCAAGGAAGACTGGCTGCCGTTATTAAGACAGTGGACTCTCACGGACAAGGAGAAGATGCCAGAGATCGTGGGTCGCATTAATGCCCCTTCTACGGCCGGCATCGTGTTTGGCGTCGGAGCAACTTCGGCTCGCCTCGAAGCTGATCGCAAGACGCAACTCAACCTCCGGAGAATTGCCACATTGATTCTTGCGGGCTCTGAAGACGCATTCGTTTCGGATCTGTCGGAGATATTTAGCAAACTGGCCGAGCTTTTGAGCGCGTCGTCAACATCCTCGCCATCATCAACGACAAGAGCGGATATCTACATGGTATTCCGTGCACTGGCTTTGAGAACTAGTGCTATCCATTTAGGCATGCTATGGCCAGTTGTCAACGCCGAGATTCATGCAGCAATATCTTCTGTTGCTGCACCCGACAACAGCACTGCTTCTGACACTTACACCAACGCTTCGGTTTTGCAGGCCTGCAAGCTTTTAGATCTTTTGATCTGCGTGGCGCCGGATGATTTCCAGCTTCATGAATGGCTCTTCATCACTGACACTATCGATGCCGTGTATCGGCCATCCACCTATCAACCTGTAGCCCTTGTCGACGAGCTATCGGACGAGCTCGGAGCTTCCGTCAATAGCTCGGGCTTCCAATCCTCTTCCGTCGTCAACCCAGTGGCACGTGGCTCATCTCGACGACCCCTTCTTGGACCAGGTGGCATTAATGATGATGTCAGCCTTGATAGAAAGGATGAGCTGGTGGCGAAGGTACTCCGGCCCTTCTTTGGACAGCTTAGCATCTTTGCCTTTGAGTCTACCTACGCAATGGGCCGACTTGATCGAGATGCTTGCATTTCAAGCTTGTTGAAGGATATTTTCGACGAGAGGAGTATAGTTAGGGCATTGTAGAGGTGACAACTCATGTATAACAGCGGGGAGATGGATTTCATAGAGTGGATATTCTCTCTCTAGCGACCTATCTGTTCAGAGGGGGAAAAAAAACAAGATCCAAAAAGAGAGTTAAACTGTCCTAAACATATGTAAGTAGGTTCAAAACCTGTCAAGCCTTGACGGCCACTGTGCAGAGTGATATCTCGTGCAACCTGACCCCGCCCCGGGGAGCAGGAAAATATAAGACCTAAGAAGAGTATGCCAGAATAAACTCAGCAAAGAGTCCCCTAAGCTCAGGCTAAATTGCCCAAGTCTTTTCATCACTTAGGATAAAGGCCTCAAGTTTTCTTGCCTTACCCCTGCCCTGAGATCATCTAGAATTACAACAAGATGTCTCGATAATGCGCCTTGAAGTGCTCCGCTTCATCTCCGTTCAGCCGTTTGAAAAGGAGAAAATAAGAAAGATAAAAGCACCGGACCCAACACAAAAACTTCATTCTCTGGCTACGGAACACCTCAGCTCTGAGCATATCCCACGAAGCCTAGTTGGTTCGTGAGAATGTTAGCCTGGAAATTCCTCATGCGAGAAATATCGCAAACACTACCCAGGTGTGGATCAATAATCGCGGCGGCAGCCATGGCTTCTTCAAGAGTGCCCCCGTACACCCTCGCAACAACACTCTCGAAAGCATCTTTCTCCATGACAGCCCCGAACTCCAGACACTTCGATACGCCAACAAGTTCCGTGCCTAGTAAGTCCAGTCTCTCTAGCAGGAGACTCTTGTCGAAACGTGACGCTAGCTCGAACCAGGCTTGTACAGGCGTGATCTCCAAGTCGCCGGGGTTGAGACTCTGTGCTAGGCCATAAAGGGAGGATAATGATATTCGGGGCGATGGCCACTCCAGATGCACGGGAGGTACGTAAGGATCCAGGCCGAGAGAACGACGGTTGTGGCAAGATGATGCTGAAGAGACTTGCTTGCGGTCACCAAATACATCCAAAGGCGCATTGGCCATGCAAAGTGAGGACGCCATGAGGCAGTGGCCTTTTGGTTCGTCGTTGGAGAGGTGAGAGTGAGATGGAAAATCACCAACAAAGAAGTGATCCCAACAGATATGTTCAAGTCTGTCAAATGTCAGCGAGGCCATCACAAAATTCACGGTGTATGAACTTACGAGAGGATAAAGTTGACAGCCTTTTGCTCCTCATCAGGAGTCAGGTTGAGATCGGGTAAGGGCGGTGGCGAACTCGTAGCGTTGCTGCTCGATTCGTTTGATCGGATACTGAAAGCTGGCGTCTCCATAGATTCATCCTTCTTGAGAGTAACAATAATGTCGTCGACGTTGATATCGGCAAATATCTCTCCGCCATCTTGATCATATTCTTCTTGTTGAAAAGTAGGATCCTCGGCCCTCAACTTGACGCCCAGGGTGTCATCGACCCAAGCATCATTGTCGCCAGCAACCACCTCCTTCGTGAGACGGGGACGTATAGAGCAGGTACCAGACTTGCATCTTGGGATAGCGATGCCTTTATTCGTTAGTAGTTCTTTGATAGAGTCATTGTCCTTTTTGAGTTGTTGAGACTCAAATTCCGTCAAGGCGATAAGTTCACGGAAGTGAGTGATGTCGAGCTCGAGTTGCTTCTGATATTCTGCTTTGCGTTGGCGATGCTGGATCTGGGCCCGCCTAACCTGGGTCCGGCGCAGCTTTGCTTTCTCAGTTGCAGTAAGAGACTTGCGAGATTTCTGGGGTGAAGCTTCACTACTGTTTTCGGGTGCTGGGGGGGTGTTAGTGGTGTCTGTCTTGGTGATATGTGAGATGTCTTGCACGATTGTCTGAGATTTCAGGTCGAAGAGTGGCCAGTCACTGAACCGGACCTTTACGGAATCAAGCGGACGAAAGATATCGACTGGAATCACGCATAAAGACAACGAGGGTACGCTCTATACTTACACTCGCTGCTCATCCCAACGCTGCCTCTACTCTTCCTCCCTCTCCGCTGGGGCGTGGCACAGTCAGGGCCTTCACATGGCGTTCCAGCGACCTTTTGCTTAGTCTTTTTGAGAAACTCAGTAAAGGAAGGTCTCTCGTCTGCTGTGGCTGTAGCTGTATTCGCCATGACGCGATAAGATGGCAATTTGCTGCTGGAGGCTTTTGCATGTAAGTTCGAGAATGAGCCCACTTTAATGACTGAGTCTCAAAGTTTGAGTGGGCTTCCAAGTGTTACGTTGGGATCCAATGGGATGGGATGGGTTAAGTAAGCGCGGGCGGATTAAATCTTGAAGCGGAATATGCCCCGAGCGAGTTCGGTAGATGGAAGAGAAGGAAGACAAGACAAGGGATAGGAACTAAAAATAGCCTGACATAAAACCGCCGTCAGAGCAGAGAAGAAGAGGAGTTTTGTATGAGAAGAGAGAGGGAGGGGGGCGGAGAGAGAGAGAGAGAGAAAAGATCTAAATACATTACTTATAACAAGAGAATATGCAAGTCAGAAAAAAAAAAATCCTGTCGTCGAGTCACGAGCTGAATCCGGGGTGTTCTGCCTACCTATTCCGAGACAGCTTTCGGCTCCAAGTTTCCCCATGCATTTGAGCTGTCAGGAGACTTACAGAGTACCTACGAGGTAGATATCAAGACCTTCCATTGAGAAAATAAACTGATCACAGAGTAACCCAACTTCATTATAGATTGCCCTAAGATATCCCTGCTAACTACCTCATCTAAGCCTTTTCGTCTCTTAAAGACTCTAGGCCAAAATGTTTCTGCCGCCCCTAGATCTATCTAGGTCATATACTTGGCACTCTGATCTGTATGAGAAATGAAGGGCCCCTTGATGACCTCGCTGACGATTTCTCCTCCGTCACAGATGCTCATCTTTTCCGCGGAGATGGTACAATTAATAGTCATGCACAATGATTACAAACGCAAATGAATGGTGACACAAAACTGTAAAGGCAAAACTTTTCCTTTTCTGCTCACTGTCTAGAAGAGTGTATGCGCATTCCATAACTCGCTCTCATTTCATGCCAACTTTCGAGATCGTTTCACATCCGAGCCCTCGGGTATAGAACCAAGCCTTTGTAAATCAAACAAATCCTCCCCAACGCCTTGCTGTGTTTTATAAACCACAAATCGCAAACCATGCTTCCGTCGTAAATGACTATGCCACGACTCTATTCATAATCTTCACCATCGCTATCCGTCGCTGTACCCTCCTCAATCTCGTCCTCATCAAGGTCGTCATCAATATCATCATCGCTGTCGTCCTCGTCCTCGGCGTTTAGCCCTTGCACTGCCTTCCAATGCACGTAGTCGTTCTCGAGCCACCTTTTACTAACCGGCAGCTGATAAGGATCGAATGGGAAATAAGGGTCCAGCTGATGGAAGCTCTCATCTTGTGTCTCATAACCAGCATCTCGGAGGGCCCCTCCTGTCGAGTAGGTGGCCGTGAGATATTGCGTCAAACGAACTCGTTTGTTGCTCTCCACCAACGGATAGACGTACATAAAGTTGAGACGATGTGAGATCTTGGCGAATTCCTCGACGATTACGGGCGCACAGACCTTGAGAGGGTTGAGTTTGCTGAAGATCTGCACGGAAAGATCTTTTCTGCATGTTCCCATCCACTCCATCTCCTGACCAATGTATGAAGCTGGATCCTCGGGGTCCACAAACTCTGGAGTCGATACGATTAGGTCCTGCCAGCGGAAGCAGAATATGTAGAGTGTGGCCTGAACAAGGCTGTAGTATGGCGTGAATCGCATCAGGTCTGGTCCCCGGCATAAGGGCTCGTATTTCTTCCGGTACTGGTCCAAGTGATGCAAAAGAAGTCCAAAGATACTTCGAATCAGGCCGCTTGGCAGATGGGCGCCACGGGCCACAAAGCTGGCTAGATACGCTGCGGCAGATTGCTTGAGGACATTGGGCGTGTTGCCTTGGAACGCAGTGGCAATAAGCTGGCCGCAGAATGCGTCTGTGAGGCGCTCATGCATCTGAGCAAAATGAAAAATGAGGAATTGCGTGTGTCGAGACTTGTATGTGGGCAGCACCAGCTGTTCAAACTCGCGTAACAGGACAGTAAACATGTCGAATGCCGTGTCCGATCCAGGGTTGGTAAAGTGAGGAGTGTAGACGCTGAACAGTGTGTCCATCATGGCATCCATCTTTTCAACACTTCCCTTGATCGACTTGATTCTGGCGACATTTTCGTCGAAATCGGGGTCGTCGCTATGGACCGATTCCGCATCGCTCTCGTCGTCCGAATCGTCGTCGTTCTCCCACTCGTCTCCTTCTGAGTGTTCGCGCAGCGCGTACATGACGGCAGCAGTTACATCGTCGTCGAGATCTTCCAGATCGGTTTGCATCTGAGAGTCGATCTGGACAACTCGTTTCAGGATAATGTCAAAAACTTCGTCACGCGAGTCGGGCACATAGTCCTTGATACGAAGAAGGTTGTCGACATACGCCATGTGTACACGCATGGACTCGTTATGGAAAGGCAACTTGCTCACGAGGAGTTCCTCGAGCACTGAAATTGCGGAAGGAAACATCTGGAGCAAGTACTGCAGGGTGCTGTGCAGTCGCTTGCGCATGGTCTCGCGGCTGACCTCAGGGAAATCCGGGACACTCCACACTGAAGATCGACTGTCGCAGAACTTCCCCACCATCATCGCTAGAACTGGCGATAGGTAAGAACCCTGGGCGCTGACCAGGGCCGCCAGGAAATGAGTGAACACTTTCACAAAGGCATCGTCTCGTCCAAGCCAGGAGCAATTCAGAACAGTATGGACAAGACCATTACAGAGCCTGTTTTTGAGAATGGGGACACATCCAGTAAGAGCCACCACGTAAACCTGGAGTTCGTGGGGTTTCAGGGTATCATCTTCCTCTCCAACGACGGGTGGTAGATACCGCTGCTTATCGCTCGCGAAGAGTTCCTTCAATGTGTCGTATTGGCTGTCGTTTCCTCTCAAGTGCTCTTCAAGGGCAGTCCTGACTTCGAGCTTCACCTCATCCATGGTCCGTCGTCCGACTTCGTACGTCACGTTTCGGGTCTCGTCTATCAAGATTTTGCGGCGTTTCGTGGGGCTCTCGAGTGCTTCGACGGGGTCGCTTAGTCCAGCATACTCGACCTTTCTCCTCCCCAAGACGGATGCAGGTTTGAGGATGGAGCGGACAGGCGTGGAGCTCCTTGGAACAGGACCAGAGAAATTCCTGGTCGTGGGTGTAAACGGTCTCATTGATGTAGGCCCTACCGAATGTTTGACGATGTCTCGCTTCGTTGTGCGCTGTCGCCCGATGGAGGGGAGTATGGTTGACTCGAAGTGATGGTGGCGTCTCTCAGGCAACAACAGTGGGAGGGAGGGGTGCTTCGGATGGGCAATCAAGATATGATCATGGGCTGAAGAGTGTGTTGAAATTTTGACCGTAAAGAATCAGCAGTCATAATAAGAATTTATCAACAGCACAAGTGCCGGAAGATGGAGAGCTCGGTTTTCTTTTGCTGCCTTGTAGAAACGATGATGAAGAAATCTCGAGGATCAATTGTGAAGCGCTGGTGGCCATTGGAACTTTTTTTTCCAATTTCTGTCGGGTACCCGATTTTTCGACGATTTTTGGTGGAGACCACACGTGCCTCAGACTCTTCCTAATCGGGAAAGGTGGTGTATCTTCTCCGCTATTCTACTTTTGTTTTAGTGATGGCGTCACACTGGATATTGAAGTGAACCTCACTTCATGCATTGCAACTGTTGTCCTTGTTGCCTGCATCGACAACGATTTATCAAGTTCCCATTGACATTAGTTATTGACCCTTCCATAACTTCGAGAAGCCCGCCAAGCTTCGCTCGTGATCATAACGTCTTATATAAATGGTTTCATCTAGGAACTGCCGTTTTGCATTCAAAGCTCGTGCCATCACCGCACTGCAAAACATCAATAACAGGTGTAGTCCCAAATACTTGAGTGCATAGTGAAAAAAACAGACTGTGGGTGTTCATTTATCTGAAAACCACTGGCCCAAAACTCCTTGCCTCTGGACTCAATGCATATCCGTTGGTCTGCATCTCAAAGACCCTGTCTGACTATCTGATTATTAACACTAATCATTTTGGGACTGCTCCCACGCTTGCAGGCAAGTACCAGACGCAAATCGCACCTCTATCTCTGAACACAAACCCAGTCATATCTCCCATTCATGCTCCCTACCCTTCCCTACAGTACCGTCCTCAACACCACCTCATACGATGTAAGTCTGCCATCGTTCCTGAAGTCCACGTACATATCCTGGAGGAAAGCTTATTGTGACCAAAAATACACTTGCGTTACAGTGCAGCGTTTGAAACGCTTGGATGGTTGTCGATATCGTTCACCGAGCTAATACTCGCAACCGATATGATGAACCTGTGCTGTTCAGGGGGGATATGCTGCCGCTGGTTAGAGGAACCATTCGAGTGGACGTTGGTACGATCGCTGTTGGGACCAGGGAGTGGATTGTTGGGGCCATGCTTCGTCGTCCGCTCCTCACTGCAGGCGACGTTTTAGTAGCCCTCACCAGCGTTGCCATTGTGGCCAGGTTGTGAGGCATAAATGTAGTTGGGATCACCCCCAGCCTCGACGCCGTTTCCGTCCTGTCCAAACTCGCCCACGGCACTAGGCTCTGTTTTGGCATCGTTCATCCATTGTGGATTACTATCGATCCCTACTCGATCGCGGTTCGACTGATTCTGTTGCTGTTGGTGATTCGCGTTAGCAACTGAATGATGGAAGTATCCCTCAAACACTTCTCTTGCTACTCGGTATAGGCTCCTCCAGCGACAAAGCTTACAAGGAGCATACCTGCAAGTCATTCACTCAACAGATCCAGGGTCCCTGCTGGTAGAGTACTTGACTTACCTCTCTGTACTTGCTGAGATAAACTTTCAGCGCTTCCGCGTAGTTCTCGAAACCAAGAGACGTCATGGCGAAAAGAATGTCTTCGCCATTCACGGTCTTGCGTTTCTCTTGCTGACATTTCTCCGACGCTGTGCAAGTCAGCATGCTGCAAATCCAAGACATGACTCGGATTTTCAAGTGCGAGTCTCAGTAAGGCTGTGAATCCATAACTCACCCTCGCTTGTGATGAAAGAGATAAATTCGCTGACACACTCTTGCATACACTCCTTGGCCTCTTTCGCGATCTTTGCGTTTTCAGGCAGTGCATTTTTCATGATACGAGCAACTGGAGCAAAGTTTCGAATGTTAGCATCAAGCTCATCAGCTCTGTCGGCCTTGGAAGCGCGAGGCGCTTTGGGTGATTTGGAGGACGAATCGCAAGACATGAGAGGGATCCAGATATGCACGGCTGGGCGGGCTGAGGCGTCAAACAGCTCGCGCAGAAAGGGACGAACAAATCATATCAGGATGCCTCTGTAGATAGATAACATACCATTGGCTATGGGCAACCATCGATCCTGTTCCTTTACACCCTCATACTCGTAGCCCGCTGAGTTTGCGGCTTGTGGGTCTTGTTGCTCGTTCATTTGTGCTTCGTCGTCGGGTGACGGTGCACCATGGTCAACCTCCTTTGGAGCAGCGGATTGGGGGGAATCCGACATATTTGGCTACCTGCAGCGGCTGCTAGCGTCCCTTGTCAAAGGGGATTTCGGGCTCGCACAGCTGGACCTTGCGATGATGTGTCCCCTGGCCACGTCGCAGATGGTAGGGCTTGCAAGCGTTAGGGTGTGCGAGAGAGGAAGAGGGGTCTTGGATCTGCGGTGCTGTGCAAAGTCAACCAAAGAGTACTATACCGATGAGGGTTCCTCTTCACTAATGCAGGTGGTCCCTGGCCCGGGATCTTGGGGCTATGACGCTGTTTTTGGGGGCGTGTGCCTGTGAGGCAAGGAGTGGTTGATGTGGATGTCTATTGTCAAGACAAGGAGAGGTGAGGTAAGGGTAAGGTAACCAAGATACAGGACACGGAGCGGAGCAGGCACCGGAGGGGGGTGGGCCTCTCCGGTGTAAAAGCCAAGTGAAGTGAAGTGAAGGTGGGTGACCATGACTTCGAGGTCCGTCCGGTAGAGAATTAAGGGCATGCATGGTATGGGAGGAGGACAAGAAGGGGCTTTGGTTCAAAGACATATTGGTACGTACAGTCTGGGAAATACAGATCAAACTGAGGTAGACAAGTCGCGCGAGCTTCGAGCTGTTCCGTAACAGGCTTAAGCCGGCTGATAGATACAAATCAAGAGCAGAGGCCGACGCGCGCAAGACAAAGCTGTAGCACACGCGTTTGAAGCTCAAAGGATACGCGCAGGACGGCAGGGCGCAGGTCAACAGCGATGGCGATGGCGATGGCGATGGCGATACACCTCAGTAGGTAGTGATGTCGCCCGGAAGCGTCTCAGAATCGACGGGACGGAGCGGCGCAGATTCGGGTCGCGGTTTAGCTGGAGACCAACGGCGAATTGCACGGGAGTGCGAAGGTTCTACCGGGTACGGAGCTTGAACAATGTGTTACACGAGGATAGCAAGCGTCTCGTTCGCCAATGTCAGCTCTAATACGCCGCCGGGGTTCTACCAAATCGCGTCAGATCCAGATTCAGAGGGAATAATCAATAATAGCTCGGGAGGCCAAAGAGGACCAGGACAGGCCGGGACTGGGGCGTGTGTAGATTCGATGACTGATTGATGATGGAGCGCGATGGGGTTCGCCAGCAGGGGAAAGCAAAGAGCTCAGTGGCGATGGAGGCGAGGCTAGAGTGAGTGAGAGTGCGAGGAGCAGCGAGCGAGAGGGTGTCTGAGTTGTTCGCTTGTGGTCGCAGTTGAGGTGCATATGTGGAGTGCAGCAGCGGGCGTGGGGTTCTTTTCTGGAAAAAGATACTTACAATTGATTGATCGCAGCTGCTGTTAAGCAAGCGAGACAATTAAGATGGTAAGTAGCGGATATGCGGTCAAGACGCGATCCAACTAGTCAAAGTTGCGTTGATCGATTTGGGCAAGGTGAAGAAACTTGGTCAGCTTCGGTGGTGACGGATGGAAGTGGAAGTGAGGTTAACAAGGTACTAAGAAGAGATGTTTCGTTTCCCTGGCACGCCAACAACAAACCCAAGCCCAAGGCTGAAAGCCCCAGCAACCTTGGTACGCACTAACTCAACCCGCACTGTTAACTTCTACCTAGACCCTGGGCGCCATTGCTGAGGTACCTCGTTTCTCTAGGTAGGTACTCTGGAGGCCCGGCCGCTTCCATGCGTATAGTAGGTAGACGTTATCGATAACGAACTTGGGCTGTATCTAAGCCTTTTTGATGAGCTGGTTGACTGTCAGCGTAGGGCCAACTCAACTCAGAAGCAGCACATTGGAGTTTATTAGCCTTACAAACCCTCACAAGAAAGCAACACCAAAGCTTACAGGCACAGTGCTGAGTACATGCTCAAATTCCTGTATAACTATCGTTCCTTTCGACACCGCTATATCAATCCGACTGACCCGGACAAGGAATACTCGCTCGATGGACCATCCATCTGCTCGCTTCCTTGATTCCTTCAGCCGCTAAAAGCAAAAGCCAAAAGCCCTGGGCTTGTCTAGGAAAGAAAGGTTGACAAGTTGCTGCAAACACTCCCATGGGTACACAGGAGCATGGCCCCAGGCGGTGTGTCGCAAACTCTTTTTCACCTACCTTGGCTTGGGGGACCATCGTACGAAAAAGAACCCGTGTTTACAGTGATACTTGCTGTCCTGTACTGGCCGAAGAAACGTGCGAGATGGGTATTCTGGTGCTACACCCAATATTAGCTCTGCTATAGATGCGCTACAGCGAGGCCTTCTACTGCAGCGCTGTTGGATCAGGATCTCTCTCTCGCGACAAGCACATCCATCTCTGTGAATATGACCCCATCTCCAATGCCTCCTCAAAATGACGTCCAGGCACTTGCTCACCATCAGGCACTTGACCGGTCATGATCAAGTCCACCTGGGCGGTAACGGAAGAGGGGGGCCACTCTGATTCCTTATTCGACAATGGCATTTTCAATCAAGCCACCCATCAAAACTGTATCCACGCTTCCATCGCCAGGGTTCAGTTTTGGGCTGAGCTGTTGGGGTAACTCATTGTCGGCCTCATTTGTACATGGCAACCTGTAAGCTTCCGCATAGTATGCCTCAGATGCAAGCCAACAACTTAGCCCCGAGTTCTCTGCCTAGCTCAAAAATTACAGTCCAATAAATAGTTCAGCCTCCTTGTAAAACATGGCCAACGGCCTGGTCCAATACCTGCAAGGACCCGACAAACTGGAGTGTTGGTCATCTAAGTTACGGCTTGATTGTGCCAATCAAAGAGGCCTTCCCATCATATGCCCTTTTTCCAACAGTTGATTTGGGACTTTAGTTATTTCAAAGCTCATCACGGCTTCTGAAACCTTAACAAACCTTTCAATGTAAGCAACATGGAGTTCATGCCAAATGTTAAGGCTTTCTCATGATTGGAACCCAACGCATCCATCCTAGCCAAGCCACAAATAGCTTCAGAACATAATTCACAGTATCTGGTTAGGATAAATGACAGTGATAGCCTCATCAGAGTTCCTGCTGACCGCCCCCTGGCACAGTCAAGGTGAAGCAGGCAGCGTGCGTTAAGTGACGACTTGGCGGCATGACCGCGAAAAGTGATAGATCTTTTATTGACGTGCTGCGATGATAGGAGTTCCTGAAGATCCTAAACTCAGTTCATTGCGGTTCGATACAACGGTTTTCGGTAACAAACAAGCCTATGAAGGCGTTACCAATAAGCTACTAGCATCCTCACTCTGCCCTTCAGGTCTGATTGGACTCGATCACATTTAAGCCATTCCAAAGATCATATTTTCACGGAACTAGAAGCGTCTGATAGAGCATTGGAACGACCGCTGTGCCGCAGGGCCTCCATTTGAGGAGGGGACACAAGTGCAATATCAACCAGTCAGAAGTACATATCTTATGACTTCTGCATGTCAACAACTGATCTGCTGTGCCAGAGGAACGCACTAGCCCCCACAAGGTCCTGATGGATGCTGCTACTCTTGACAAAGGTGGTGGAGAGCTGTCGGAGTGAAGGCAGCAACTGATGACTTGCAGTTCATGGCTAGGCTGCCCCATATCGATCAGACTCTTTTCAGATCTCGGTGAAGATCAATCAGACAGGTAACTTTGAATTTACGTTGCATAAATACACATGGAAAACGCCAGCTGTCCATCGTACTATCTTTGTCATCTTTGGCTTTCTCATTCTCATGCACTTCGCCTCGATGCACACGTCTCCAGTTGAGGCATGGAATATGATGTAACTCTCACAAAAGTCATGAGTTTCAGACAGATTGAGTGTGCGGAAATTTCCTCATTCTTCACCTCAAAAGGTAACACCATCATCAACGGTGGTCCGACACGAGGATACATGTGGCCAGTTAATGCAACCGGTGGGCAAGCCTCGTCAATCGGGGTGTTTCTGTCCATACAAACACATGCCCGCTGTCTAGGTCTTGCGTCGCATTACATTGCATTGTGTGTTTGACGTCCTGCATGTCAAAAACTCTGATGCTTCTGGGGCCTCAATGCGGTTGGGCATGCAGACGCTTTTGCCGCCATAACCCCACAGCACGCAGCAAGTGTACAACGCATCAACACCATCTTTCTATTCCTTCTGTCGTGTTGCTCGTTCAGCCTGAAAGGCCCATATTTGGACGGCAAGCAGGCCATGGAAGTCCGTCTCATCCGCGTCCAGATGAGGCTGGAGCAGAAACATCGGGAGGCCCGATGGAGTGGCATTTACCTCGAGAGAGAAGGAATTTTGAGGAGTAATTGCGTTATTGCAAGCTCTGTCGCATGAGGCTGTTTTCAAAAGTGGCACATCTAATAAATCGCAAGCATGCGATTCTCTGGTAGTTCTCAGAAATCAATCCTCTGTGGTACCAATGCAAACGTTTTCATTATTCTGTCCTCGTAGTCTCATTATTGCTGTACAACCTGCACATTGTTCTTCTTCTGTAGAATGGTTAATATTGGCTCTGTAATCTTACGCCAAGGACTGAAATCATTTCGATTTTTCTCTTACCTTCCACTTCTCAAGATCATCCTGCTTCGTCTTGTATTGCTTTACCAAGTCGTCCAGCACCTTGCGAAGCCCTTCTTGGTTGGTCTTGAGGGCTGGTACTACATCCTTGACCGTCCTCTCAACAAGCACACCGTTGATGAGACGGAAACACTTTCTGTCTTCTGAAAGGGGCTCTAGTGTCTCCAAAACAAGCCTGTTGAAGATCAAATCAGAATCAGTGTTTCAGCACGCGGTAATACTATGTTGTAGGAGGGATATGGACAAGCCGACGCCATGCTCAATCTGTTTGAATGACGGTAACGACAATAATGAGGAGTAAGCCACTTACTTGTGCTCCTCGGCTTCTTGCTCAATGTCACCAATTCTCTGAGCTATTTGCTGAAGAGTGTTCTTGTAGTTGGAGTAGGTGACTTGAAGATCTAGACAGCGTGAGTAAGAGGCGGCGTCATGACATGTGCCAGAAGGAGGGTTGCGCTGACCTTGCTGCTTCTTAGCAGGTACCTGAGCCGCTGAAGACATCTTTTCTGAAGGAAGCAAAGTGTTTCGATATAATGCTTCTCTTTGTTGGTTGAGTATCAATAGATGCTCTCTTGTGTGGAAATAGAAGCCAACGCAAATACGATCCATGCCCCTCCAAATCCCATGGAGCCTCCCGCCTGGTCCGTGCGCCCCGACCCAATATTCAATCTCTTCAGCATGTGGCGATCACTGGATTACTTTGAGGGTCCTCCAATTCTTTGCCTTTCCAGTCTATCAACATCATCATGCATCCTCATCTTCACACAAAGAACGCTCTGGGTAAGTCCATCGAGCGCTTTATCGCCACCGCGCGCTAACCCTAGCCACAGCGTGCGAAGAGGTCATCGCTGCCCTCGAACAGTGCCATAGCCAAGGCTTCATGCACAAGGCTGTGGGAAGCTGCAATGACGCCAAAGAGAAGGTCAATGAATGCTTAAAGATCGAGCGATCAAAGATGCAGGCCGAGAATCGAAATGCTGCCCGGGCAAAGCGCGACAAAATCCGAGAGCAGCAGCGGGAATTGGGACTTTGATATAGAAACGCCTCACGATACGATACCAACGACCCGAGTTCGACACGAAGCGAATCCATTGACGATGGGCTGTATTCAACTTGTATACTAGAAACATTTGAGCTGGCGTTCTGGGCGATAAATTCATGACAAGGAAGCAAGAGATTGATCAGTATATCACCCAAAGCCTCGTATACATTATCTGAGCATGATCCTCTTACTGCTGTGGCATGGAGTTAATTATTTAATAATCGTTTCTGCACATAGAACCCCGGAGCATATATGTTGCATTGTGCATAAGGAGTCCTTCCCTTCCCTCTCCTCTCCTCTCCTCTCCTCTCCTCTCCTCTCCTCTCCTTTCCTTTCCTTTCCTTTCCTTTCCTTTCCTTTCCTACCCACCTAACCAGATTTCTGGATATTGATTAGCCGAGTGACAATGGCTATATCACCGCCACCAGTCTTGCAGGCAGTAACCAATTCTTCAAGGGCTTTATATACCTTAACCATAATAACTGAGAGCATATCAGTGGCAGCTGTAAAATAGATTATACTTATGCCTAGCTGCTTAGCAGCTTTTATTGCATTTATAACTAGTTCTAATCTTATTTTTAGATCTATTAGTATCTATATATTTTTATATAATATAAATAGCTTGCCTAGTATTCAATTATACTCTATATAGAAGTTATTGGTTATCTCTATATAGTTGTAGGTTTGGGGTTGAACAAACCTTTCTGGCCGATAGATTTGGACTTCGATGCCATGGTGTTTCCTCCGTATACCTAACTTGCATGGTGACGAGGGATAAATATCAAGATTGGCAATAAGGTTATCAGAGAGTATTTGCGTAAAATCGCGCTTGATGTAGCAGATGTAAATCGTGAAGGTATAGAGAGATCATGTACGTAACGGCGGCGAGGATTTCGGGTTCAATATAATGCTCTTGACTAAAGGTCAACATCTGTAATCCTGGGCTTGATGCTGCAGAGAATTCAACTTCTTGAGCTGTTGAGAGAAGAAAACAACGGCGGTAATGAGGCTTGAATGACAACTATTTCACGTTACATGCAATGGAGCCGTTACCAAAGCCGTTGTCGGCTGTGAATCACTGTAAATGTTATATAGAGCACATCTAGACTCTTATTGATTCAAGCCTTCAGCCGTACACCTGAAAAGTAGCGTAAGACTGGATCGTCAGCTTCGCCGACCCATACCAGCCAGAATCCTAAACTCATCATAAGGTTCCAATATTTAAATATCGTCTTTTTCCCACCTTCCCCTCTTCTCTTCCCTTCTTTCTTCCTTTCACCTTTCCATCAATCTTACGGACCTGTGCATTGTGCATCTTGTCGGCTAGAGCTATTGAGCTCATTTCCCTCGCCCTCGCTGCCAATTTCCTGCACCTACATCACTCAATAGAAGCATCGACGACATCATCTCCGGCTTGGTCGATCGGTCAGTGTCTCGCGGCCAACGCATCTCCGATGTCGAACATCTCAGTGCACTTATATATGCGCAGTATGAAATGTCATTTATGAAACAAAGCCGTGTGATCGAGGCCGCTATTAAGGTCATGGAAAAGATGCGAGATAAGTTGGGCGGTGATCAGAGGCAGGGTATCGAGCATACGGATTCCGAGAGGCACTGGATCGATTGATGAATATTCTGTTGACCGAAGCTGAGATGGCACTGGCGGTTGAACGCCAGATTTTCGGTTAAGGTAATGAATGAGTGATGGCGACAGTAGCTAGGTATCTTATCTGGTAATTACGGAACATTTAGGGTGGCAATCTGGGCAATGAATTTGCAATACGCAACGAAGTATGGAATGAGATTATTTGATGTTTTTGGTACCTAGTATTAGGTAGTTAGTTAGTAGTTATTACATATAACACAACTTTGCTTCACTTAGCTGCCTTTACCAACTTGCACTCTTAGTCGCCATGAACTCGCATGTTCCTATCACGATCACTTCTTGAACCAAAATTTATATCGGGACGTCAGGATTTATCATCGAACAGGACACTGCCTATCCTCAGGGGGCAAGAAAACAGCAAAACTTACTGTAAGGTGTTAAAATAAACTTAGCAAAAGTTATCCTAAATTCAGTAAAGAGTCCCCTAAGTTTAGGCTAGATTTACCTAAGTATTTCGATCGCTTAGGGTCAAGGTCCTGAGTTTTCTTTCCTCCCCTAGACTATGTTTTGTGAAATATGTGCAGTATTACAATATTGTCTACCTCATTCTTGCTCTTGAAAAGATGCAAAAATGAAGAAAAGAAGAAGAAGAAGAAGAAGAAGAAGAAGAAGAAGAAAGGAAGAGCAACTGAGGGTCGATGACTCAGTGAAATCTCTACAGGAAAAAAGCAAGACCAACCATCAAGAGAATTGTCGTCAGCATTCCGTCGATCGCCTTTACCACCGCCCCTGAGACAATGACAACAGAAGCTTCTGGCCCAACCACTGGTGTATGAGTTGGAGCTGGCCTGCGGTGAAACGTTGGCTTGGGGGCATCAGGATAACCGTTTCCTCCCAGACGCACTGCAGAAGGCTCCGCTTGACCTTGGCTGCCCTTGGCTGCAGGGGAAGAATTCTTGGGCTGAGTCCCCTGAGTATCCGGCTTAAGCTCGTCATGTTCAACGATGCGTGTTTCGTGAGCTGCAAATTCTCTTGTGGGAGCTGCGACAACTGCACCGGCTGGAACAGTAAGAGCAATGGTGTTCTCTCCATTGTGACCACACCTATTACAACCCACCTCGATAGTCGTCATCTCAACCGTTGGCGGTTTCTGATACTGACATCTGTGGCAAGGGGGCGGTCGCAACGTGGTACAATACTCAGTGATAGTCAGGTAAGACGGGTTACTGGGGTCAACAACGGTGTATGTCACAGTGGTGATTATTGGCTCCACAGCTTCGGTTCTGGTGAAGTTGCCTGCATTATAAGAGACAGTTGTCGGGAATGGGGGCGTGATCGGCTTTGCGCCTTGTGATCTAGTGACAGAAACTGAAGGCTCAAGGGTGATGACGGAATCAACAAATGTTTCTGTGCTTGAGGATGGGGAATTTGAAATTGTCGGGTTCTCGTTAGGCAAGCCGGAAGACTCAGAGGTCAAGATAGGTTGAAGAGTGATCTCTGTAGAGACTGCGAGAGAAGATATCCCTGCTGTGCTAGGAGCTTCCGAAGCGGTCAAAGAGCTGGATATGACTTCAATCTGCGCATACAGAGTGAGCAAAATGCCGGGGGGGGGCATCTCGACGTCGAAGGCGCGAGTCCGGGCTTGAGTCGGTCGAAATCACACCGCCACAGAACAGGCCTGGGTCCCCAGGGCATGTCAGATCACAGCGACCGTTGGTCACAGTTTCAGCAGAGTCCAGAGTATCTGCTGCATAACAAGACCTAATTAAGATAAGCCAGATGAGCGTAGCATTGATGATTCAGAACTTACCTCTGGTAGATGCCTATATAAGCACGTCCTCTTCCTAACCTGGCACACTCTGCGGTAGTCATGTCAGGGCCCTCTCCGATCAAGCCAAAGCTGGGATAGCCAGCTGCAGACCCTAAGCAGCCGAAGAACTTGAAAGTCCCGATCACTGCTAGGTTAGACGGTACGGAAGATGAGGTAGCAATTGTTGATGTCGCTGAAGAAGATGTGTCCTGGGCTGTTGAAGTCACGGCTGTTCGGAAGCTTAGTGTCAGATCCAGTTTATGCACATTAGGTGAGGTTTAAGGGGGAAACATCAGAGATCACTCTTGTCGTGTGTAAGTGTCTTACCGTAACTAAGGCTTGTCTCCTCCACTGAGTTTGTGATTGTGCCTGTCGAGGACTCCGTCTCTTCGGTAGCACTTGTTTCCAAGGACTCGGTTGTGGTCATGTCCGGTATGAAGGCTTGTTACGCTATTAGTACTGGGTTCTTTGTAAATATCATGCAATGAACTATGACAGGGATCATGGGCTTTTTTTGTAAGTATGCGCGCTAAGAACTCACTTGTTGTCAACTCACTTGGGAGGTCACTACTCAAGCTCGGTGTGACCTCATCGGTAGATGTTGGGACTGCTAGGACAGTAGATGACACTTGAACTCCCTCCCGAGAGGTCATCGTGTTATCTATGGAGCTTTTAGGCAAACTCGTTGTTCCGAGGCTGGTACTGCTCTCATTGGAAGAGTTTGGAGCTGTTGTAGTGACAGTATCAGATGTTGGGGTAGGAGTTGGTTCGATTACGATGGTTGAATACTCTGTAACTGTGTCACTTGGTTCGACATTTGTTGTATCTGCTGTTGTCGTGGTTGAGTTTGGGAGTTCTTCTGAAGTGACTGAGCTGCTGGCTTCGGTCGATGCCTCCATTAGTTCTGTGGTAGTGACGGTAGTGGTGTCTGCGGTGGTAGTGTCTGTGGTGGTGGTATCTGTGGTGGTGGTGTCTGTGGTGGTGGTGTCTGTAGTGGTGTCTGTGGTAGTGCCTGAAGCAGTGAATGTTGTTTCCTTGGCAGTTGTAGTAGTCGTATCCTCAGGGGCGGTCATAGTAGCCGTCTCTTTGCTAGTTGTTGCCATACTTGTATTCTCAACAGTACTAGTTGCCTCCTGAGAGGTAGTTGTTGATTCATTCTGAGTAGTTGATGTAGGGGGCTCTTCAGAGGTAGTTGTTGTCTCATCTGCAACTGTCGTCGTCGTAGACTCCTCGGCAGTGGTGGAGGTTTCTTCTGCTGTTACCCCGATTTCGATCGTTCCGGACACAGTTCCTGAAGCAGTGATGGTAGAGGTATAGGGAGTATCGCCTGCTACCAATGTAGTTGTGGTTGTGACGTAGGCAAGCCGGAAAGGTTCGTTGCAGTCAACGCAGGCTTCAGCTTTAATCATCAGGGCTGAGTCCCACATGGCGTCTCCAGCATCACAAATTGCGACGACCACAGTCTGCGGACCGCCGGGGAGTGACGGTACATCGATCCAATAAGGCGCTGACGAGCCGGGGTACGAGGTAACGCTGTTGGGCGGTACGATCACCAGAGGTTGTGACAGCCACGGGTTCGTCGCGGTCAGCCTATTCCCACTGCCATCCAAAGCATAGTTCTGGTTGTTAACGAATATACCAATTGTATCGGGAGCGCCCCTTGGTTTGTTAGTTGACGGTAAAACGATTTGTTGCCAGTATTACTAACCCAAGTTCCTCCGAAGCCATGACAACCTCAAATCTCATTCCTCCAAAGCCTGGAATAACCATGACATCCGCAGTCAATATCGCAGCGTTGTTACTTGAACCGCCGCCGCAATACGTTACTGACCCAGCCGCACCATTGTTCACGTAGTGGTCTCCATTTGGAAGAGCTCCCACAGCAGCTCCGGAGGTGAGGATTGCTGCGTCTCCCATACCGAAAGGTCCATCAGTGAATGTTCCAGAACTAACCGATGCCCCAGTAAAGGAAGCTGAGATGATACTGATGCCATTACCAAAGATAGCAGAGGCCAGAGCGTTTCCGTCTGTGTTTGCCGTGACACTGAATGCGCATGAAGCACGCAGCAGTGCTGCTAAGGTAACGAGACTTGACAGATGAAACCCCATCTTTAAGAAAGTATTGCGGAATTAATCAAATCGAGGGCAAACGTTGCTTTCCTCTGGCTTTCAGTTTAAGGAGTGGTCGGTGGATGAGATCAAGAAGGTTCTTTATACACCTTTCATAAGCAGCCCATATCTGAATAGCAACTACAAAAGGGGAACTTAGAAAGTACCCCAATGCACTCATCAATAAGATCCATTCCAGTGCCAATAGGTTGATGGTCATCTTGAGATTACCTACTATCAGTCGATCCACGCAGTTGCCTCTAGTTGTCTGCAGCTAACACGAGTCTTGTGCTGCTTTCTTCTGTCTCATTTCTGTAGCGGTTAGAAAGACTACGAATAGTGTGACAATTAAGTTCAGAAGAGTTTAAATCAAAGTCTTGTGCAGTCTGCATATCTTAGAGTGACATGCCAAACATCCCCTTGCACTACAATTTTTCAGGATGTCATCCAGGCTTAGTGAGTTCAATATCGACATTCCATGGATGAAAGCTTGGTTTTGGGATCAGAGAAACCATAACACTACAAGGGACGGTTGTGCCGCTGTAGTCTCCTTCGATAATGAACTCTTCAGCGATACTCAAAAAAAATCTGGTATTTTCCAAATTACAAGCCGAGCCACATCACATAATAGGACCTTCTGAAGCATGATGAAAGGTTTTCGTTCTTATTCGAATGCTCCCAGCCCAAGAATAACATGTGTAATCGATGATGATAAGCGAGACGTTGGCCTAAGAGGTAATAATTCTGGTATGAGACATTTATTAAGCATGTAAAAAGCTTAGCCTTAAACCCATGATTCTCCCTGAAACTTGGCGGGTCATTGTTGAAGAGTCAGAACATCGGCCTCGGGGGGCAAGAAAACAGCGAACCTTGCTGTGAGGTATCAAAATAAATTTAGCAAAAGTCATCCTAAGCTTGGGCTATATTACCTAAGTCTTTTGTCATTTAGGATCGAGGGCCTGTATTTTATTTCCTCCCTAGATCGGTATTAATCAAATGAGACAGCCCACAATACACGACTCATGGCGGGCGGTTGATGGTTGGGAATGTTATGAGTAGAAGTCATGCCTCGTAAGATTCTACTTTGACGCGTTTTGAAGCCATTTATTCCTATCTTCTTACCATAAAGGAGGAGCCTGACCTCAACCCTACCAGAATTATGTGGTGATCGCTCGACAATACACCACATCGATAGAACTGCATTTAAAGCTCTTTCTCATATCGTATGTCAATTGAGGGAAGTGGTCCGGGTTCTGGCGTTGTTAAGCATATCACGACACTATGTCGATGTCTCGCACTGAGTCGGAACAGTTCCAGATAGCCAGTCCTTGGGGGGTAAGAAAACAGTAAACCTTACTGTAAGGTGTCAAAATAAACTTAGCAAAAGTTATCCTAAGCTTAGGCTATATTACCTAAGTCTTTTTGTCATTTAGGATCGAGGTCCTGTGTTTTCTTTCCTCCCTTAGCCAGTCCATCGATCCAGAACAAGTGGTTCTATTGTATCGTATAATTACCTTGACTAAGCTATCATCATCTGACAGCTGTCTCAGGCCCTCCTTCGAAGAGCAGAACCATAGGTGAAGAGGCCAAATGCTGAAATGACACTGAGAAGAATTGGAACCGGTTTCCTCAGACGAAGGGCTCGGGGGAAAGCAGATCCCCCAAGCACGACGGAGGCTAAAAGACCAAGCTCGACTCCATAAGGCTGCTCATTCTGAATGCGATAGCCACCAAGAGCGTCTACAAGCAAGTTGTTAACACGTTGACACGCTACGAGGAAGACAACGGAGGTAATATTGGGACTTACATAAAAATCCAACAGCACAGCCAGCAACGATCGAAGGAACAGATCGTGTGCGCGCGTATCCCATGATACCGCCTCCTGCGGTCAGAGCGCCGAGGATGTAGGCGGGAAGCTCAAGATCGTGGTAATTGACGCTGGCCTAAACTCGTTAGCCAACGAGCTGGTCAAGGCTATTATAGGGCTCATTACTAACCATTGTGTTGCTTGTATCCTTACTATCTGGTCTCTCAATAAATTTGTAAATTGTCAAGATGAAACAGCAACTTGTTCTTTTATGTCTAAGAAGAAGCTGCGGAGCTCTCGGCCATTGACGACATATTCGAGGTACGTACCTCGCAGTTCGTGGTGAGCGTGGGTCTAACCCCCGGATTCTTGGCTTTTTGTGAACCAATCATCTTCAGTTCACCTTGGAGCTTTCGTGTCCAGAGGAAGCTCCTCCTACTGCACTTTAAACTAACCAAATCCACCGACACCAACGTACGTACGTCAAACACTACGAATCAACCATCACCAAAGCTTCATAATATCGAAAGAAACTCCTACACCGAGCAAACAGCCCAACTCATTCAACAGACCCTCCCGAATTACAACAATGGCGGCTAAGAAGAACGTCCGCGATATCACCCCCTCGGCCCCTGCTACAACTCAGGCCAGCACCACCAGCGCTGGTTCAGTTCCTCCTCAACCTCAGCCCAAGCCCGTCACTATCGCCAAGAACGAAATCAAAGGGGAAGTTCAGTGGGACAAGGTAGTCCAGAACCTCTACAATCACTACGTCAACAATACTCCTCAGCGCATCAAGTTGGTTGATGCCTTTTTGGTCTTCCTTGTTGTCGTTGGTGTTCTCCAATTCATCAACTGCGCCCTCGCTGGCACCTTCGTGCGTCTTTACCTATGAATCTGTAATAGTTTATCAATTTCTAATGCTTCTTAGCCCTTCAACGCTTTCCTGTCCGGCTTCTGTGTGACAGTTGGGCAGTTCGTCTTGACTGGTATGTTACGACAACCGACGACCTCGAAAGATTATGGCTAATGATACTCAGCTTCGCTGCGACTTCAAACAAATGAGGCTGTCAAGAACGATTGCCCTTCAGTATCCCCCGAAAGGTTTGCAGAACTCAGGTTTATAAAGGAGGCCCAACACTGACTTTCTCCAGGGCTTTCGCCGACTACATTGTCTGCAGCTTGATCCTGCATTTCTTCGCCATCAACTTCATCAACTAGATGGCTAGTTGAATATTGTGACGCTGGTGGGATAGGGACCTCTTGAGGGCTACGTCGTACCCATCAGGCAGTGTACGATAAAAGACGGCAAATCACGAAATTCTTTAAAAGTTTGACCAATAGATCGGGAAATAGAACAACCAGTAAGGGGAATCATTCACATGTGCTATCTTGGCATAATCTCATTCTGCTTCACCACCACTGGCCTGAGTCTCCGGCTTTGGTGAGTCCCTTGGAGGGCCGCCTTTGGGTGGGGGAGGGGCTGGTGAGTTCCTAGCCGAAGGTGCATTGTCCACAGCCCGACTCTTCTCTTCCTCCTCTTTAAAGTAGTCATCCATCAGCCTGTTGGGATTGTGGCCATGGCGTTCCTTCTTCTTCCCAGCTCCCCTCGGCGGTGCACTCACCGGAGCATCACCTATCATCTGTGCAGGCACCAAAAAGTCTCCTGCGGGAGGGGCGGGCTCCGAGCCGCCTATCGCGGGAGTAAATGCGCCCTCGCTCTTCTCATTGGTGGCTCCATCGAACATCGTCTCGCCAGGAGCATCAACGGGCTCGCTCAGAGGAGGAGGTATCCTGTGAAGGGCTCCGTATCCAAGCACGCAACCCAGCGCTCCTTGGCCACCCCAATCCCTGCTAGGCTGTATTGTGACTTCTCTGGTGACATTGTATTCGTTGTTGTAGACCCAGATTCGCATCGGCCGTCCGATAAAGTCCTCGACGAGCTCGCCCAGGCCACCCTCGCCATATAACGCACCCTCAGGACTACCGAGGATATAGTCACTATATGGCAGAAGACCGGCGGCATCGGCGGGGGAGTTGGCGGGGACATCGAGAACGTGCCAGATGTTAGCAGCAAGGGCCAGCGGAGCGTATTGGAGCGAAAGACCGAGGGATGCAGTATCTAATGCAACAGGCGCATGGATCTCTCTCGTTCTTTGGCCCTAATTGTTGTCAGTAGGAGAGTTCAGAAGGCACAACGTTAATAGTTTACTTTTGCATTCCATAATCCCAGGGTAACTGTGCTGCCCGCGCAGTTTCTCACTTCCTGGCTGAACAAGGCTGGTTCGGGGTCCTCCTAGACTAGTTGTTAGCGATAAGGAGCTTAGAGGGCCTAGAATGAGCCGAAATACAATAGGTCTACCATTGATTCCAACTATAAAGTCGAACCAGGGTTCGATAGCAAGCTCCAGGTTGGTATTGCGCAGCACCTGGAAGCCGAAGGAGCCTCGCTCTTGTTGCCTCTGCTGCTGGACATCTCCGTCCAGGCGCGAGATGAAGCGGTTTAGCGCATTAAACATTGCTTCGGTGAGTTTTTCTCCAGATTTGTGTGTGTCTATTATTGCTGGGGATCAAGAGGGGCTGATGTGTTTAGTACTGTATCAGATGGAAGCATGTTCAAGGGCAGATCGAGCAATCGCAAGCTGTCACTATTACAGTGGCAGCCTTGCAGCGATGGCGTCTGTGCCAAGCCCACTAGTCTCCATGTGGGACATACTGTGGGGAGCTCATCGTCAGCCTCGTGCTCAATTTCAACCTTTGAGCTCTCTTCGACTTGCCCATGGCAAGTCAATGCATTCAACTTTTGAGGAAGAATGGCCGCTAGCACTTAATACAAAACCTACTCGTACTATCCTTCGAATCAAGACATGAGTAGTTCAGGGGTAGAATTGTCGCTGGACGACTCCGAGTACTCTATGAAGCCCGCTGAAGAGCTGCCTCTAACTGATGATTGTCACCACTATCAAGGAAAGCATGAGGTGCCATGGGATATTCAAAAGTGAGCAACTGTTGACTAGTTCACTTCTCTCGATCGTGCTAATATTGTCAGATACTTTGCGCAGCGATATTCGATCTTCTCATTGTACGACTATGGGGTTTACATGACAGACGATGCTTGGTTCGGTGTAACGCCCGAGCCAGTAGCAAAGTGAGCATACAATTCCTATACCTACCTCCTCAAGGCTCCGCTAACTCTAATCTAGCCAAGTTGCTCATGATATGTACGGCACCGACCAAAAGAAGCATATCCTAATTGATGTCTTTGGTGGCGCAGGGGGTAACAGTATTGCATTTGCTCTTTCTGAACGATGGAGTCGCGTTATCTCTATCGAACGCGACCCTTCAACCTTGGCCTGTGCCCAGAACAATGCCAAGGTCTATGGTATCGCGCCGGGGCTAATTACGTGGGTTCTCGGTGATAGCTTCGAGTATCTCGACAAGTTATTCAATCACGCAGAAGAACTGCACCCAAATCTAAGAGTAAGCCTTGACGAAACAGTACTGTTTGCCAGTCCACCTTGGGGCGGCCCCGGATACCGCACTGATGAAGTGTTTAATCTTTACAACATGCAGCCGTATAATCTTGACGATTTACACACTGCATACAACAGGCTGGATCACGCGTTGTTTCTACCCCGGACGAGCGATATTCGACAAATCGCTAGGCTAGCACCTCCTGATAGGAAAGTTGAGGTTGTTCAATACTGCATGGAGGGTGCCAGCAAGGCCCTGGTCGCTTATCTTCCAGGAAAATACTCGAAGGCCCGCCAGTGAAAGACGCTCTCCAAAATAAGATCACTGTCGCGACTCGCATAGCAATGGAACAAGTCTATGCCTGAGGAAGGGTGTTGCTGAGAGTCTCGGGCATTTGGTTGACGAGATCATGATGCTGTTGGGGGCAACCGTACTTATCTGTTTGATACCATACCTTGCCTATTCAACGGCATATTAATATAATTTGCAGCCCATGCAGACATCAATAGACCGTTGGTGTATTGCTCAAAAGGTGTATTATCCAGCTTATTCAAATTGCCTCGGTGATCGATATACAGTATATGTTGTACAGTTGACACTGTACCGTGAATGGTTGGTTTTGACTTGATCAAAACCTGTAGGAACCCCATCCACGCGCAGGAATTTTCGCATTGGGGCCCAAACTTGGCAACTTGTCCTACAGTGCCAAATACTTTTCATCATCATGGCCAAAGATAAAAAGAAGAACGCTGACGCCAAAAAGGCAAAAAAGGTGCCGTCATATTCTGTGCTACCGTGTCTGCATATGTCTTTGCCCCTCCATCAATTAATTACCCCTCCAAATATGACTGCCCCTCCATGCATCATGACATGTTGAACGTTTAACTAATGATCAGAATTAGGCTGAGAAAGCAGCCAAGCAGGCCAATAAGGGTGAAAAGAAGGCCAAGAACAAGGCCGCCAAGGTCGAAGGAAGTGATGCCGAAGATGTTGATCTTGATGAGGTGCTGGAAGAGTACCGAAGACAACAGGAGCAGTTCCTCAAGATCACTGAGACGGTAATTGATGCACCTCCGAGAGCGAGAGCTGCCTCAACCTTGATGGCTTCACCTCATGATAGCAATACTTTACTACTCTTTGGCGGTGAATACTTCAATGGCTCTCTCGCTCAGTTCTTCAATGATCTCAATATCTACAACATTAACAGAGATGAGTGGCGATGTGTAACTTCCCCCAACGCTCCACTCCCGCGATCTGGCCATGCTTGGACCAGAGCCGGAAACCCGAACCATGTCTATCTCTTTGGCGGGGAGTTCTCCTCGCCAAAGCAGGGCACATTTCACCACTACTCAGACTTCTGGAGGCTGGAGCCTGCAACGAGGGAGTGGACGAAGATTGAGAGCAAGGGTAAGGACAAGAGCCCTTCAGCTCGAAGTGGTCATCGAATGACGTACTGGAAGCAGTACATTATCCTCTTTGGTGGTTTCCAAGACACTTCAAATCAGACAAAGTACCTATCAGATCTCTGGATATTTGATACTGTTAACTTTATGTGGCATTCTCCTCAACTGCCTCCTGCCCAGCTCAAGCCAGACGCTCGCTCATCTTTCACTCTGCTACCCCATGAACAAGGTGCGGTTCTCTACGGAGGTTACTCACGTGTCAAGGCGACTGTCAACGTCAAGCAAAAGGGCAACAAGGGACCTAGCCAGGCTCAGCGAAATGTTCTTATTCCAAAGGTTCGTGAAGACTGCTTCTTCCTCAGAATCTCGCAGCCTGCCACAGACGCCAATCCCAATACTCCCCCGGTTGTTCGCTGGGAGAAGCGAAAGAAGCCTGCCAATGCCCCCAACCCTACACGTGCTGGTGCGACAATGGCCTGGCACAAGGGCCGCGGTATTCTCTTTGGAGGAGTGCACGACGTTGAGGCCAGTGAGGAGGGTATGGATAGTGAGTTCTTCAACCAGCTTTTCGCTTGGAACATTGAACGAAATCGATTCATGCCGTTGGGTCTACGAAAGCCTCGTCAGCAGAAGAAGACTGCTACAGAGCCCCGAGGCGGGCGCCGTGGTCGGGCTCAAGCAAATGAAGACGAGCTTCTGAGACAGCTTGCTGCTTTGGAGACTGGGGCTTCTCTGGATGACGCTGATGAGATCGAGCTCGCCAGGAAGGAAGAGGAAAGAGATGACGACAAGCCAGCAAGAGAAATGCCAGTAACCATGGAACCCCCGCATGTAAGATTTAATGCTCAACTGGCCATTCAAGACGATGTTCTCTATATCTATGGCGGAACATTTGAGAAGGGAGACCGAGAGTTCACATTTGATGATCTCTATGCCATCGATCTTGGAAAACTAGATGGTTGTAAGGAGATCTTTAGTCGACCCGTCGAAGACTGGATTGTAAGTGATGTCGAAATGGCGTATGAAATTTTGCTGGCTGACTTGAATCTCAGGAGTCTGATGACGAGGACGATGATGAGGATGAGGATGACGAGGATGAAGAAGACGAGGACGAGGAAGAAACGGGTCAGCAACTCTACACTCCCAGTAAGAGAAAGATGAAGCAAGATGAGGTTTCTGAGGCTTCGTCAGAGCCTTCATCGGAGCCTTCAACGCCCTCAGAAGACGATGAGACCGAGACCGCAGCCACTTCTGTGGACGACGGGCTGCCGCATCCTAGAGTAAGTATTTCGCATCCCCGCTCCAATACCATGAGGGCGTTACTGACAGAACAACAGCCTTTCGAGAGTCGGCGAGAGTTCTTCGTCCGTACATCAGCTGAGTGGCAAGAGATTCTGATGACGAGCCTCCGTTGGAAGAACATCCAGCCCGAGACACTAGCTATCAAGGAGATCAAAGCTAAGGCCTTTGAGCTTAGTGAGGAGAAGTGGTGGGATTGCCGTGAGGAAATTCTGGCTCTGGAGGAGGAACAGGAGGCTGCTGGTATTCAGGAGGTAGTAAGCTTAGCGGAGAGAGGAGATGCTGCGTCTGGTGGTGGCGCGAGAAGGAGGTAGTTAAGGCTGGAAGTGGCAGCTGTTATTTATATCAATCAATACGACGCCCTCTTCTGCACCCTCTTGGTGACCTCATATTCTGATTTTATGCGACCGCTACCTTGTCCTTTTCCCACTTATCTACTTCTTCTGTTGGTCAGTCATATACCATAGGAAGACCTTGCTATACCAAGGGGTTCCCCGAGCTTTTGGCTTGGTCTAACATCTTCTGGGCTTGAACGCCCCTGTATGCTGAGACTCATTGTCTCAAGATACAGCACGATAACAGTTCACGAGAATGGGAAATTATTGCCTTGAGCGTTTGCTGATAGTTTCTTAGTCACAGAGTCATCAACCTCCAGTCCTATTTCCTGAGTCAACCCCAACGCCACGCACGCCAATCCATGATCTCCTACAATCGCCTCACATCAGGAACACACACTACAATGGCTCCTCCACAACACCAGTGGGTGACCACACCGCTTTCTTGCCACGCGTCCATAGAACCAGAGCCGCAGCTCTCTCGATAAGTCAGTTGGGAGACGCAGCCATAGGCGGGTATGTAGCACCGCCAACGTCGACCTTTGGCTCGCACTCGCAGCGCTCAGCCTCCGGGACGTTGTCGATAACAGACTGGATATGGCTGCCGCAACCCCACCAGGAGGTCTTCTCTGTAGGCATTTTAGTGGCATTTTCTTGATATTGGATTCATGGACTTACTGCAGGTTCCGCAGGTGGCTTTCTTACACATTTTCGGGGCTGGGTATTCTGGCTTGATGGATATCGAGTAAGTTGTGAAAGAGGAGTCTGTCTATATCGGCTTCTCGGGGTCACAAGTGGAGATTGAGGAATGGAGAATGAAGGCTTTCCCCTTCCAGCATCTCCGGACACCGGCGATAACTAAGCCAGAGCCAATGATTCGTCACCGATGTATGGACTGTTTTGGGAACCAATTGGCATTTGAATGGGTCAGGTCAGAATCATGAGATACGCTACGCTTCATGGGAGAAACTCTTGGAAGACTGAAGCCTCGGCCTGTGATGTCATGATCATTCAAAATCGTAACACACTACTATCAAATTGACATTTCGAGGACGCTATTCTCCGTAGTTGAATAACAACCAAAACACGAACAGATTGATATAGATTGATATAGATTCACATAGTAAATGGAAATATGCTGACAACTCCTGCTAATGATCCATCCCCGGGCGCCTGGAAAACCACATCACAATTCCTCGCCAGCAGTCTTACTCACCAGAAGCTTGTTCTTATCAATCATGTCACTCTCAACAACTGATCGAATGAGAGTTAATGTCAGTTCCCTCCCTTTCGCAACACTCGTAGGCGAAGCATCGGCTGGGACATGAAGAAACAGGGCCTTTCTGGGCCTCTGCAGTTTCCACAGCTCAGAGAGACTTGAGTAATAGATAAAGTCGCACATGAAGTGGCCTGCATCTTCGGATATGCGCAGATCCGCCTCCTGTGCTTCCTGTCAGTATTGACACGGCCTCAGATCTGCTAAGCTTACCGAACTGTACCCCTGCCACAGAGGGAGTATTTCATCGAGATTCAGCTCCGTCTCAATCTCCTCTGGGAGGCCTCGCCAGGGCCAGTCATTCCTTTCTCTCTCTTCTTCTCCGTCTATGTATTCGCCATCGACATCCGGATGCTTGTACCCATCACGGTGACCTCTCCTCTCGATGGAGTAGAACGGTCGAGGACCAGCCATTCCAACGTGAATGACAATGTCAAACTTCTGTGGAGTGTCATAGAACGACGGCACAAGCCCTCTCACAACCCGGTAATTGACACGGATAGGCTCGGGATGCACCACGATGCGTACCTTTGGCAGAATCACAGCTGCATGCCTCGAGTTAGGGTCCTTGGCTCGCAGCGGAGGAAGATATGAGGGCAAGCTGTTGGCGATCTCCCATGAGGGGTTAACGGGGTACTGTTCCCTGAACGGCTATAGCATCTGCGAGTTAGCAGAAGTTGCACAATTCATATGACACTGCATATCCCGTCCAAGATGTCACGATCTTGGGCTTTGCAGTGCTGTGTGACGTCGAGCGGGGTGGTCAAGCAGGCAAATGACGCTTGATATGAGAGAGGAAGCAAGAACATACACCAAAACCTGTGACAAGCACAGTAATCTCATCGGGGTCTCCAATCTGCGAACCCATTATGCGTCGAGACTATATTTATAATAGAATAAACTAGCGACCAGGAAGATGGAGACAAGGGGGAGAATCTGGTCTTCTTGATATACTACCTGGTAGCTAGTGGGGATGACAGGATCATCAAGTTTGTCAACCTATAAATACCTAATAACCCTCCATGGGTAAGCTGAGTGAGAAGACATAGATAAAAAGGGTAAAGTCGGGCTATTGAATCCTAAATCAGACTTAAGCTGACCTCGGTTTTTTATTTCTCTTAATATCTGCTTACTCTTTTCTTTTCTTTTCTTTTCTTTCTTTTTCTCCTCTCTCATGTTTTTGGCCGAGGAATCACAGATAATTACTCTGACTTCTTCAACGGGAACGGAACAGGAATTGGACCAATGACATAGCAGCGTTTAACGTTAATTCGTTGCCAAGACATGCAGGCTGCCAAGTTCGGTATGGGTGTAGGGTAGCTACGGTATCAGAAACAAATGCATTGTTTGATCAATCGCAATCATTCATATGTTATTGGCTTATAATTAGTCTTTATGTATATGTGTTATGGCAATGTTAGGCTTCAAGGTTTAATAGTAGCAGGGCTTCCTTTCTGCTGTATTACACTGATTTATGACGACTGAAGCATTGCGGAACTTTACACGTTACGCTGAACCACAGCCTATTGTGGTCACTTGCATGCAGTGTTGCAAATACGATGGAGTCGAAGGGGCAATTCGGATGTACTGGAAGAATAGTACTGAGCTGAGTATATGTTCATCAACAGAAAGAGGCCAAAAGTTGGAACAATATGCCATCATCTATTCCATTCCAAGTACTCATGATTCTTGATAGACTCCCCCACTAAAGGTAGCCCCTCCATGCGGAGTTGCCCAAAACAGACACCTGGCCACCAAGTAACAGCTTGGACTCATCCTTTATAAACACCCTACATCAGAGCGACTGCAAACTTTTTCATGTTATACAAGTTAAGCGACACCGCGAGAAAGACATATACGTTGGAATCATAAAAGCCTATTGTGTTTTCGTGACAAGACAATCACCAAAAGCAACCTCCAATTCATTCCGGCAGACCCTGCAGCCACCACCTTGTTCATCCAGATACTTTGCTTAGAGGATACAATGGGATCAACTCCGGACTACAGCCTGCCCCCGCAGGAGCTTGCATTTGACGGGTTTCTCTTCGATATGGATGGTACCATCATCGACTCCACGGAAGCAGTAGTGAAGCACTGGGAGACGTAAGTGCAGCCGCACCCACCTCACGTCTTACGCGGCCAGCCCGAGTGAGTGACTAACCAAGCAAAGAATTGGGAATGAGATAGGCGTTGCCCCCGAAGTTATCCTTGAGACTTCTCATGGACGACGAAGCATCGACATACTCAAGATTCTCGCACCTGAAAAGGCGAACTGGGATTGTAAGTGATAAAAGCAACACCCCGGCCACAGCAAGCATGGCAAAGCCCACAAACACATAGGTGTTCATGGGCATGTCAGACGCAAAACCTCACTTGAGGATATATCTTGGCGGCCATGTATGTGCTGGCGAGGCTGGGCATGCCCCCATGTAACTAGACTATCATAGCTAGCTAGGCCGAGCGACCGCTGATCACTTCCCAGATGTACGTGACATGGAAGGACGTCTACCCAAGTACCACGGACACGAGGCTGTCGAGATACCTGGCGCCCGTTCCATGCTAGAAGCACTTATCGCCAGATCTAGCCCATGGGCGATCGTCACCTCGGGCACCGTCCCTCTCGTCACCGGATGGCTGCGTGCTCGAGACCTGCCCACACCGCCGTCGAATCACCTCGTCACGGCAGAGTCCGTCGAGAATGGTAAACCTGACCCCGCCTGCTACCGCCTCGGCCGTGAGCGTCTCGATCTGCAGGCGGAGGACGCCCAGGTCCTCGTCCTCGAGGACAGCCCAGCAGGGATCCGCGCAGGGAAAGCAGCAGGCTGCAAAGTTCTCGGCCTGGTGACTAGCCATACCGTTGAGCAGGTCATCGCTGCAGAACCAGACTGGGTCGTTCGAGACCTCTCTTCAGTCAAGGTACTTCGGAGCGAGGGCGGAAAGGTGACTATCGAGATTTCAAATGCGCTCCGAATATAATTGAGCCTCGGCATTCGATGCATCAGCGGAGCTCATGGTGGAACTGTGGTGGGTGGGTGAGGGCGAGTGAACGAGTGAACGAGTGAATGAGTGAGTGAGTGAGGGAGGGAGGGAGAGAGGAAGGGTGAGGGCCATAGAGCTGTGAGGGAGATGTGTAAAAAAACCACTTGATTTCATCATGACGATGGAACATTTAGCCAATAGATCCAGAGATGAAACTGGGATCGTTCCCTAGAAAAGAGATAGGCGAAAGACGATCGCCCTGAAAAGGGCATATTGACATCATCACTCTTCCTCTCCCTGGGTACATGCATATGTACTTGTTTCTTGATCTCATTTCCTTTGTCGTTCCCTGGATACTACATAGTACTGTATTATGGGGATGGAGATGGAGATCCTAATCACGATCTGGCACATGATGATCGACACGCCAAAGCGACACAGCTGAAGACCTGCAGATGAGACTCAGTGAAGATATTCCGTCAATGTGCTGAAATCACGCACCCGATCGTATCAAGGGAGACTCTGCAACAAAGAAAGGATCCCGGGTGAAGTCTTTGTCAGTTTGAGACATGACAGTACCTACATAGTACTCACTTATTGTCTGTCGCCAATGGAACCGTACCCTCTCACACTCCCATCTCCACAAAGGCAGCTCTCTCAAATGAGACCTCTCCAGTGGAAAGCCACTTCAACTGAGACGTTTCTTGGCCATCCTTTGTCCTTTCAGACATGATCTCTCGGCATCAATCTATCTTCTGCCTCCTCTCATGTCTAGTTGCGCTACCTGACCCGGGCGAAACATCTGGCGTCTTGCAGGCTAACGACAACCACTGTCAAGCGCGCTCAGCGGTCGCGGGTCTCCACGCCACAGCATTTACCTCAGCTATCGATTTAGCACGGTGAAATTCTTCAGGCCTTCAGCATCGGGACTCCGTGAACATGTCTCGGTTGTCGCCTGTCATCGCACCGTTTCCTCTGGTGGGTCTTGAGCCAAGTGGCCCAAGGGCAGACATACAGAGCCCGTCGCCCGTTGAAGCGGGGAAGAGTGTAATTTCGCACACGGAGAGTGATAGGTTGTGTATGTATGGCCAAGGGTATCGTTAATAATGCGAGAGATGGCAGTGTCAAAACTTTTCGCTTCCACTCTGCCTTGTCTTGTCTTGGCTTGGCCTACGAGGCCAAATTGACACACTACAAGAGCAGTACTGAGTCAGGAACATCGAAGCCCCTTACCCCTGACGCGTCTTGTTGGAGACAAACAAAGCAAAAGAGAGAAAGAAAAGGGGAAAGGAAAAAAAAAGATTGAAGACAATATCTTCTACTGAGTCTAGAGAGTCCACAATCAACACTCCACGCAGCGTGAGGAGCTCTCACGAAACCGCCGGTGTCGCAGGAAACATGCCGGCAGAGTCCCTGACCCAGATCTGTGGCGGTATCAACTTGGCGGCGTTTTCGTTCTATAATAATCAATTACTATCATCAACTACAGGTTCGCGCCGAGAGGCAGCGTACGGAAACGATTGTTCCCTTCTGGGAATGGTGGTCCAGTTCAAGTGGACCAAAGCAAGGAGACCAAGCTAACAAAAACTCTGTGTTTGTTTGAGGGAGAATTTGTGCCACGATAAGGCAGCAAGCAAGCATATGTTTGTTGTTATATGCAGAGGGGTCTGAGGCCAGCGAGGACGAGAATAGCATCAAAGATCTATGAAAAGCTCTTGTGAGGTTGGACAACATACCAAAGTGACAGTTGACAGGTGAGGTGACAGGAACCGCAATTTCGCAGTCTGTCGTACTGCATGGCATGTTTGCCGTGATTTCCGCACGCCGGAAGCACTCGGTCTATAAGCTGTTCATGCTTGAACAGCTGTCTTTGCCAGACTAATTTTCTGTGTTTTCGTGCCATGTCAGGGCTACGGGTGATTCCTGCAAGGTCCCGTACGCCCAGTGTCACTGTCGTGATAACTCTGATTCGCAAAGGGCGGGTAGTGACATGGAGGCTGACCCGGTGGCTTTTCTTTCCACTGTGCCACTACTGTCCGGAACAACTTCAGGCAAGGCGAAGGGAGTGGTGATTCGAAACTGCGTCAAGTCAACAAAGTCCATGGTGTTGTGATTACGACTCGCGAGCCCCCTGTCATTATTTTACTTGAGACAGGGGTTTCCCTGAAGGACCCATCATATCCCACCGTGGAAACAAAGGGAGATCTTCCGGTAGGATTCAACGGGATATCGAATCCGTGCGCATCCGCGGTGTCGGAGAGGGCGGCCAAGATAATAATGGCCATAATATAGGTAGGCAGGCAGGTAAACAGCCTAAGCAGCAGAGCAGAGTGTTCAGCTGGCAGGGGCTGGATAGTATCATAGAAGGAGGACGCCAGAATTCCTTTTCTCTCCCACAAGTTCGCTGCCATTATACCGCCCCGCGAGAACCCGGGCTATTGGCGCTTCACGTTCCTAGGCCGAGCACCAATACCCTGGAAAGTCATCCACTACCTATGCAAACGCCCTAGACGCACTCTCGATTTGGATCTTAGTCCGTGATCGTGGCTGGCTCAAATGAGATTGGATCCCCTCTAAGCTCGAGTGTCGTATCCAGCCACGAAAGACGGTCCAGATACCAACAAAACACATTTCTTTGTTGTTTCATGAATTTTGCTGCCCTTAATAAGAAGCGACGAATCCTGAAATGTTTTACACACCATCTTGGACTCCTTATTCCTGCATAAATATTTCCACTCCTGCTTTGTAAATGGCGCGTTTCGAGAACCGAAGGCTGGCGGCCTTTTCAGAGAGGAAAAAAGAAAGAGAGAATAAAAAAGGCATCATATCTGACATTGCAGAAGAAAGCACTGCCAGAGGGGACTGAAAAAGCAAAAAAAAAAAAAAAAA